GGCACAATTTGGGGCAGAACTGGGAAGTGAGTGAGGGGTTCGGGGTTGGATGTCAAATAAGCTCAATCAACAGAAGATTAACACACAAGTCTACGTAATTTAGTTAGTAACCATTGACGAGCAGCTCGGCGCTTGAGCTCACGTTCCCCGCATTGTTGCTGGCCACACAGCTATAGTTTCCGGAATTGGCCGCCTTCACCGATTCCACGGTGAGCAGGCTAATCCGCTCCCCGATCTTGTTGGCCATCACGCCCAGGTGCGTGAAGAGGGGTAGGCCGTTGTGGATCCAGCGAATTCTCAAGGGAAGATCGCCCTTGGCCACGTGACAGGTCAACTGGACGCTGTCGCCCTCATTGGCCTCCGCATCGAAGCTAAACGGATGGATGCTGGGCAGGACTGGGATGGGGGGGGTATCATTTTAAAATCATTTACAAAATAAACCAAAGTAAATGTTAGCTTCTAAGAAAGAGTTCAGGGGGTAATAACCATTGACTTTTAACTCCGCACTGTAGCTGCTCTCGCCTGCTTGGTTACGAGCCAAACAGGTGTAAACCCCACGGTGCTCGGCTGCAATATAGTCGATATTCAAGGTGCTCGACTTGCTGGACATGCGACCAATCACCACATCCATGTCCCCACTGTTCAGGGTATGATTGTTGAGAACCCACGTAATGTTGATGGGCAAATCCCCCTTGATCACCGTGCACTGGATACCCATGGTCTCGCCAGAGTTAGAAGCCTCATCGCCGAAGTCAAAGGGTCGGATTTGAGGAGGAACTAAATCACAGAAATTGGGGTTAGAGTTCGGAGGGGGATAAACGAAAAGAAAACAACGCAAAAACTTAAAAAGGAGAGTTTAAGTATATTAACCATTGACCACCAATTCAGCGCTTTGCTCGGACATCCCAGCCGCATTGGTGGCTATACACTTGAACAGCCCCCGATGATGGCCATTGATGGCGTCGATGCTCAAGGAACTCAGTTTGGGGGACATTTTAATGATGCGTATTCCGACGTTCTCGTTGGTTATTGGTTGTCCATTTAGAGTCCAGTGCAGCTGAAGAGGTGTGTCGCCTTTGAAGACCATGCATTGAACCGCGGTGCTATCACCGTAGTTGGAAGGCTCCTCACCGAAAACAAAGGGCATGACTTGAGGGGGCACTACATACAAATGAGGGAGGAGAACTCAATACTCGCACTATCGATATGACAAAACAGCTTGTTATTCATTTTTCAGTTATTTAACACTCTCACTTTAACCAGATGTAATTCCCAAACTTATTCAGCTGATGTATTTCATATTCAGCGCTAAGGAAATACTGCTCCAACACCAAACACCAACATACAACAGTAAGTGAAGACAATATAGATAGTAAGCGTGCTCTTATTTGCTCATATTTTTATATTTTTTGTGAGAACAAACCATTAACTTGTAATTCAGCTACATATTCACTGGTGCCCGCCTCATTTGTGGCTATGCACTTGTAGACACCGCGATGATATGCATTTAACGAATCAATATTCAGAGAACTCGTGCGCTTATTCAGACGCACCAAGGTGAAACCATTTTCACCGTTTATAATGGGAGCCGAGTTGAGGGACCAGCGTATCTCCAGGGGCAGATCTCCCTTGGGCACCACACAATTGGCACTGGCAATATCGCCCACATCGGCGGCAGATTCGCCGAAACTAAAGGGCAACACCTGTGGCGGCACTTAAATGGACGGGGAGTGATTGGCAAACGATTAAAACTCAAATAAATATAAACAAATAAACTGTTAACTAAGAAATATGAGTATGATATGAGTAATGACCATTCACGTGCAATTCAGCGCTATATTCAGCGCTGCCCGCCTTGTTGGAGGCAATACATTTGTACAGTCCTCGATGTCTGGCCTCAAGTGAATCGATGCTCAAGGAGCTGGTACGCGGATTAAGGCGCGATAGAGAAAATCCATGTTCACCGGTTATGATGGGTGCTGAATTCAATGTCCAGCGGATCTCCATGGGCAGATCACCCTTGGGGACCATGCAAAAGCCTCCTGCCATTTCACCAGTATTGGCTGGCTCAGTACCAAAGTCAAAGGCTTGGATTTGTGGTGGAACTTTTGAGAGAAATGGAGATGTGGTAGAGGAAAATCAAAATAAGAACTCAAAAAGTAAACTTAATAGAAGATCTAAAAGTAGTGATTAAATCAAACAAACCGTTCACATCGAGTGTGGAAACGTATTCAGCATATCCCGCTGAATTGTTCGCTATGCATTTGTAGCTGCCCCGATGGACAGCCTCCAGTGAATCAACATTCAGCGAACTGGTTCGCTTATTCAGCCGCACCAACGTGAATCCCAGCTCACCATTTACAATGAGAGCGGAGTTCAGAGTCCAATAGATATCAAGTGGCAAGTCCCCTTTGGGAACCACACAGGTTACACTTGCCACTTCGCCGCGATTCAGGGGCTCATCACCAAAGGAAAAGGGGCTGATCTGTGGTGCAACTATATAGGAGGAAATCCTTTTTACTTAAGAGAAGAAGACAAAGCTCTAAACCACCAAATAAACCAGGTTCGTGTTAGTAGGAAGCAACTTTACAGGCGAATATAGAGAGATCCTGTGGGGGTTTCACCAACCATTCACTTGCAGATCAGCGGAATAAATCGCTCGACCTGCCAAATTCTGGGCCACACAGCTGTAGGAGCCGCGATGCTTGGCCTCCAGTGCGTCCACACTCAGGTAACTGGTGCGTTGGTTCAACTGCATCACTGTGAAGCCATCCACACCTGTCACCACAGGCTCACCATTCAAAGTCCAATGGATTTTTAAGGGTAAATCACCCTTGAGAACAACACAAGTGACGCTTAGAACATCACCCATATTCAAGACTTCGCTGCCAAAATTAAAGGGCGATACTTGAGGAGGAACTGCAGAAACCGGAAGGATTAAATAAAATTAAAGTAAAATCATAATGTAAATGAATCAAATCAAAATAAAAGGTGTTTAGAGTGAGGTGCCTTCTCCGTGTACCGTTGACTTTTAGCTCCGATGTGGTGAAACTAGAACCCGCCTTATTCTCCGCAATGCACTTAAACACCCCTCGATGATCTTGTTCGACAGCGGCTATATTCAAAACACTCGTCTTGGGTGACAGTTTCAGTATGGTGATTCCCTCCTCGCCGTTGATGATGGGTCGCGAATTCAGCGTCCACTTGATGGTGATGGGCACATCGCCCTTCTGCACCATGCACTGCACTCCGGCATTCTCACCCGTATTAACAGGATCATCGCCAAAGGAAAACGGCGCTATCGAAGGTGGAACTGCATGGCAATGAAGGTAATGAAAGGACAAAAGGATAAGGGTTGAGAACCAAACGAAAAGCGAAGAAACAAAAGCCGATTTTAAGAGCTTCTTGAGATTAACCATTGACAGCCAGGATGGCGGATTGCCTGGTCTCCCCGGCATTGTTGGTGGCCACGCAGGAATAGTTCCCGGCATGTCGGGCCCTCACGGATTCGATGCTCAGAACGCTGATGCGTTGGCTATTCCGGGTGACAATCAGACCATCGTTGGTGTACACACGACCGCCGTTCTTCGTCCAGGCTATATCCACGGGTAGATCCCCCCGGTTTACGGTGCAATAGGCGGACACCATGTCTAGTTCGTTGATCACATCCTCACCAAAATCAAAGGGCATTATTTGCGGTAGGACTGGATGGATAAGCAGGGAAAGGATGGCAAAAGAAAGACAAACTTAAGAAACTGAATTCCCATAGGATGGACAATAACCATTAACTGCTAGCATGGCGGACTGGGTGATGGCCCCCGCGTTGTTGGTGGCCACGCAGGAATAATTGCCCGTATGACGCGCTCGCACGGACTCAATGCTCAGGACACTCAGGCGCTGGCTATTCCTGGTCACAATCAGACCATCGTTGGTGTACACACGACCGCCGTTCTTCGTCCAGTAGATGTCCACGGGCAGGTCGCCCTTGTTGACCGTGCACGAGGCCGAGACCATGTCCAACTCGTTGATGCTCTCCTCGGCAAAGTCAAAGGGCACGACCTGGGGTAAGACTGGGGTATGGATGGTGGGAGGTTGGGTTAACAGAAGACAACCGAACGGAAAATCACACAAAATCTCCTAGGAATCATAAGGCTATTAACCATTGACCGCCAGGATGGCGTATTGCCTGGTCTCGCCCGCATTATTGGTGGCCACGCAGGAATAGTTCCCCGCATGACGCGCCCTCGCGGATTCAATGCTCAGGACACTCATGCGGGTACTCGTCTTGGTCACCACGATGCCATCGTTGGTGTAGACTCGACCGCCGTTCTTAGTCCAGGCCACATCGATGGGCAGGTCGCCCTTGTTCACCGTACAGGAGGCCGAGACCATGTCCAGTTCGTTGACGCTCTCCTCGCCAAAGTCAAAGGGCACAATCTGGGGCAGCACTGCGGAGGGGAGCGTGTGGGATCGGGAAAACGAATAGCAAAAACCAAAGGACTAATCAATCTAAGACTTGAGGACTCAAGAAGCGAACCATTGACACGCAGCTCGGCCGTGTGGTAAATAACCCCAGCCGCATTCCTGGCCACACACGTGTAATTCGCTCGATGGCGTGCATGCACCGACTCTATGCTCAGCATGCTGATGCGCTGCGTCGTCTTGGTGATCAGGATGCCGTCGTTGGACATCAGCCGACCCACGCCCGTCGTCGGATCAGTCGGCGCCGTGGTCCAGTACAACTCCAGCGGAGTGTCGCCCTTGTTCACCGTGCACGTGGCCGAGACCATGTCGTTCATGTTGATGGTCTCCTCCCCAAAGTCAAAGGGCACCACCTGCGGCGGAACTGAGCGAGGGGTTTGGGTGTGGGTTTGGGGTTTCGATTCAGAGAAAGACTAACGACCAACGTTGAGGCTGAAAGCTGGAGACCCTCCCAAGAAAGAAGTAGCGTCGACCAGAGCTTGGGAAAGTCTGGGAAAGAGTAGCAATTCTCGACTTACCCATAACTTGCACTTCCAGAGATCCTCGGGCAGAGTATCCCTCCTGATTCTTGGCCACACAAGTGTAGGTCGCCTGGTCTGAGTTGCGTTCCACATTCTCTATGATCAGTGTGCCATTGGGGAAGACCTTTTGTTTGCGGTTAATGGGCAGGGCGCGGTTATCTAATAAAATAGGGTTTAAGAAGGTTTAGCTTAGAAGGTTACAAACTTCGTACCTCTCTCCCAGACAATCGAATCGATGGGGTAACCAGCTACGGGGCAGGTGACAATGAGCGTCTCGCCAGCCACGATGGCCTTCTTCTCCATTTGACGGATGTAGGGCAGTCCGTAGACATTCAACTTGGCCGAGTGCTCCGCCACGCCCACTTTGCTCTTGGCTATGCACTTGTAGAGACCACCATCGTTGGCATGGACCGAGGTTATGTTGAGATAGGAAACCACATCGCCGTTGACCGTTACATACTGTCCCACTTGATAGCGATCGTTGTTGGCAATCTTCTTTCCATCGAGTTCCCAGGAGATTTCAGGTGTGGGATTACCGCCGGCCACGCACTTAAGGAATACACTTGGTCCAGGTTCCATGGTCTCTTCCTGGAAGGCCTGTCGAATGACGGGTGGGTCAAAGCGACCTCCGAGCTTCAGTTCAGCACTGGCCTCCGCCGATTCCTGGTCATTCCGCACGAAGCACTGGTACATGCCCTTATCCTCCTTCTTCACGGATTCGATGCGCAGCACAGGTTCGCTGTGACCAATGGCCTTGCCGTCCTTCATCCAGCTCACGGTCTTGATGGGATTTCCGGTGTACTGGCAGGTGAATACCGCCGGGCGTCCGAAGTCAACTGTCTGGGTGGGGGGATCGATCTTGGCGGAAAGCGGGGCAGTGACGGTGAGTACGGTCTCGACGCTTTCTCCTCCCACAGAATTGTTAACCACGCACAGATATTTTCCAGAGTCCTCGACCACGGCGTCCTTAATGATGAGAGTGCCGGAGACCTGCTTAACACGATCGTTTAGAACCACAGCTTGCTTGCGGGTTGTGCCTTCGATGAACTTGTACCATCTGGAACGAGAGGAGAGTGTTACTAGAGAGCTCTAATGTTTAAAGTTGGCATGGGGACAGAGTGGGCACAGAGTGAGGCAGTTGTTTTTTTTTTAAATCCGAGAGCACAAGCTACTTACCTCCCTCAGGTTGGATGATGGATCTTACTTACCTTCATTATTAAATTAATTTGAAATTACCTGCTCATTCTGTGCACCACTTTCTGGGTATTGGGGAAGACCTATCCTCGACCTAGTGAGGGGGACCTAGCAATCTACCTATAAAGGATAGCCCTGTCCAGGACAATGTCCCACAAAAGGTGCCAGAAATAGGAACTTCGTTGATCTCAATGCTTTTTACTGCAATGCGGGGCTTTACGAGACCAACAGGTTCTGAAAAGTGTGATATATAAATATCAAACTGAGAGGATGAAATGAAGGTGAACCTATCTTCCTAGCTAAACTGCCTGAAAGTATTTCTGACTATATGAATATTTATACCTAAATACTGGATGTGGATACGCTTGACCCTGGCAAAGAATAGAGAAACTGTTGCCCAGCTTTTGGGTCTGTTCCTGCAGGCGATCTCCCGATATTGTAGGAGATACACTGCCAATGGGCTCTGGAATAAATCGTATATCGATTAGCCTTCGCTTTGGAATCCTATTTAGCTGCCTGAATGTTGATTTTGAGGGTAAAACCTTAATTACCTAAACGCGGGTATGGGAAACGATTGTCCCAGACACAAGATGGCCAAGTCTGCGGTCGCTGACTGGGTTATTTCCTGCAGCCGGCCACCGGATATTTTAGGGGATACACTACCCACGGGTTCTGAAAATCATTAGCACTTATGTGAACTTACACCCTCTATCAAGATACAGAAAACTGCCTTAATGTTGGACTAACCTGATGATGGGTACTGGAAATGCCTGCGCCTGGCAGAGTAGGGCAAAACTAGTGGATATCTCTTTGACAAATGTGAAACTCTTGGACTCGCCAGAGAAGGTGGGAGCTTTGGCGCCAACAGGCTCTACAAAAAGAACAACAATATGCTTCTTAAGGGGCTAATATGGGTTTGATCTTATGTCTATTTAATGACTACCTTATCAGGGGCACTGGATAGGCCTGCGCCTGACACAGCAAAGCGAAACTCTGATGAAAATTACGCACAAAGGTGTAGCTTTTCATATCGGAAGCAAAGGTTGGACCTTTGGCACTAACAGGTTCTGGGAAAAAACAAAAGAGAAACCTCCTTAACCGCCTGAATTGCTGGGAATTACCGTGTATAGGGAACTGGAAATGCCTGAGCCTGGCAAAGCAGTACAATATCACTCGAACTTGCGCCGAGTAGACTGGATATCTTGGAAACAGTAGCAAAGGTTGGAGCCTTGGCACCCACAGGCTCTGCAAGGCAAAGTAAGTAAACTTAGGATTGTTCTTATAAAAGATCTAGTAAACTGCCTGAATGTTATAAGGTTATAAGCTAAAGGACTACCTCATAGCAGGAACTGGATAGGCCTGAGCTTGGCAGAGCAAAGCAAAACTTTGACCCACTGGCCGAATATAGGAAAATACATTCGAATCCGTTGAAAATGTGGGAGCCCTAGCGCCAATGGGTTCTGTAAACAATTATTGGGCATTTAAATTATAGTTATATGGGTATGGGAAAACTGCCTGATGATAAGTGGAGATATTTCTAACCTCATGATGGGAACAGGATAAGCCTGAGCCTGACAGAGCACCGCAAAACTCTGACCCACAGCGCGGGTGTACGAAAACGAATTGGAATCGGTTGAGAAGGTGGGAGCTCTGGCGCCAATTGGCTCTGTAATTAGTGATCTCAAATTTAGTAAACTATCTACATATTAAACCTAAGAAAACCGCCTGATGGGAAACAAGATGAAAGCTAACCTCATAATGGGCACTGGAAAAGCCTGAGCCTGACAAAGCATTGCAAAACTCTGACCCACAGCACGGGCATAGGAGAAGGAGTTGTAGTCGGAGGAGAATGTTGGAGCTCTGGCACCAATGGGTTCTGTAAAGCATATAGAAAAGTTTTACCCACAAGCCTATTAACCGAAACTTGCCTAATGATGGGAACGGGAAAAGCCTGAGCCTGGCAAAGAAGGGCAAAGCTGGCATGAATCGATCGCTCGAATATGCTGCCCTTGGAGTCACTCGAAAAGGTCGGAGCCTTTGCCCCTACGGGTTCTAAAATAAACAAATATCATACAACATCTTGGCATACATGAGTTTATCCTACACAGAACCAGTTGAACAGTGTTGAACCTTGTTTAAGGAGGGCTTAAGTTACCTAAAAACGGGAACAGGATAGGATTGGGCTTCGCAGGTGAGGGCCAATTCGCTATTTTGGGGCGTCTGAATGGTAAAAGTTGAGGCCACACTAGGAAAACTGGGCGCCTTAAATCCCACGGGCTCTAAAAAGTCAAAAGCCATTGTTGATTAGGCTTGGGAAATTTCCGAAAATAATACCGTCTGAATGTTGGGTATATATAAATCTTTGATTTTTCGTTATTCAAGATAAAAAATCGATTTAAGTCACTTCAAAATATTTTAAATACTTTTTTGATAGTTTATTTTAAAGAAGGTGACGGAAATTTTTGATTAGAATTTGGATTGTAACCCCAAATATCCCTTTTAATTGTGTTTTTTTTTTGTTATTTTACCTAAAAACTGGCACTGGAAATGCTTGAGCTTGGCAAAGCATTGCAAAGGTGGAGTGCATTGGAACATTTTGCTGGAAGGCCAGCACTCCTGTTGGTACTGATGGAGCCTTGGAACCAATGGGTTCTGGGAAATTTAAAGAAATAATAGAGTGAACATATAAAAAGCTGACTTTGATGTGTAACTGCTCTGAATGTGGGAATACACATTGGTATTTTTTTGGGGAAAATTTTCCATTTCTATTGTTCCGAATTTTACCTAAAAACCGGAACCGGAAATGCTTGAGCCTGACAAAGCATGGCGAAAGTTGAAAGCAAAGGAACATGTTGCTAAAAGACCATAACACCTGTTGGCACAGCAGGAGCCTTGGAACCAATGGGTTCTGGAAGGTTTAAAGGGGTAATACAGTGCGAGTCTTACAAGCTATATTTCCCGGTTAACTGCTCTGAATGTGGGGCTTACCTAATGATGGGCACTGGAAAAGCTTGCGCCTGACAGAGAAGAGCGAAAGCCGTGCCCTTTGACTTTTCCACCTCGATGAGTTTGTACTCGAGGGAAAAGGTCGGGGCCTTGGCGCCCACGGGCTCTGTAAATGAAGTCACCCATTAATTAACCTGTGCGAAAGCAAACAATAAACTGGCTGAATGTGCTCGAGGGGGTCAACGAAAGTCGTCAAGTACTTTACGTTTAATTCGATGCCGCACTAACTTTCACTTAGACATTGGACGTGACCCCACGAGGTCGTGAACCTGACCCGAAAAAACTTTGGCAACTACAAAAGTCGGAAAAGGAAGAGATAGATAAATAATGCATATTTCATTTCGGTCAAAGTTGAGGCCACGGACATGCGCAGAATCGCGGGTTAGGGCAGCAACAGCTGAGTGCGCAACAAGTCGAGGTCACCAGCGCCCACCCCGCCCACTTTTAATGTCAGGCGACCTTAAGAAAGTGGCACAAACCAACGGTTGTTGACCCAAAAACGTGCGTTCATTCATAAACGGGTGTGCGAGCGAGACAGTTGCGATCCACACTCGCTGCGGAGGGGAAATTGTTTGGGAAATTTCTGTGGATGCCAAGCATGCGCAGTGGCAAGGAGAGAGAGAGAGAGAGAGAGAGAGCGGGAGAGCGAAACAGCTGAGCGCCGGTTTGTTTACAAACTGCCCACTCACACCAGTGCAAAATGGAAAGGGAAAGGTGAGCACCCACACATGCATGGCTATCTCTCTCTCTCTCTTTTTGCCACTCTGTTTATGGTTTGTTTTGTTTACATAGCTTACTTTTCTGCGTACCTATTTTGTTTGTGTTTTGCTTTGCGCGCGCATTTTATGAATGAACCCTCCACCCCTCGAGTAACCCATCCCAACCCCCCCAAAACAAGAGTTCACACTCCTCATGCATAATTAATGTCACGTTTGCGGACGCGCTCTCAAAGTGCCGACGATTCTAACCTGCTAATGGGCACCGGATATGCCTGGGCGGGACAAAGGAGCACTATGTCCATGCCGCAACGCCTCTCGATACCGGACCACTTGGTGTCCACCGACAGAACGGGCGCCTTGGCCGAAATGGGTTCTGGGGGGGAAGATAACTACATTAGGGTCTATCATGAGTATTGCTAGAATGTATGGGATAGTGGCAAAACTACAATGTTCCTGCTTTATTTTGTATGAAATAATCTCGTAGATTTCTATTTTATTCCCATAAAATAAAAAAAAGGTATTTTCTAAAGTCAAAACTTGGGCTGAGTTTGGCTTACCGAAAACTAGGAGCCGGAAAACCCTGAGCCGGGCACAGCAATGATATAGCATGTGCCTCTAGCAATTCCAGGGGTTTCTGAACTAGAGCTGGAGTTCTGGGAGCTGTGCTCGAAATGGGCTCTGCGAAGAGTATATTAAAAGGCATTTATTAAAGATTCGAAAGCTAAGACTAATGTTAGTCTAAGGGCTCAACAGGATACATAAAATGATAGTCCTTTTTCGACCATTTAAAATCATTAATCGTCTAACACTACTACCCGTTTTATTATAATAAAGTTTAAACACAGATTGTAAACACTTTTGGTCTAACCTAAAGGCGGGTACTGGAAAGCCCTGTGCGGGACAGAAAAGGGCCAGATTTGTGGATAGCATCCTTTCAATCCAAGAGCGCTTGATGTCATTTGAGAGAAGCGTGGGAGCTTTACCACCAACGGGTTCTATATGGGCAAAAGTGGTTTAAGTTTGTATTACCTAAAAACTTATATTTATAAAGAAATTGTAACCTAAGCCTGATGTTGGATTCTATGAAAACCCACCTAAAACTGGGGGCCGGATAGCCTTGCGCAGGACAAAGTATAGCAGTGGTAGCCATGGACTCCACAATGTTGGGCTTATAGGTAAGTGCGTTTATCTTTGGCGGACTACTGCTTATTGGCTCTACAAAAATTAAACAATAGTTTCTTTAAGTTTTGCGATAAATTAAATATTTTAAAACTGCCAGAGTGTGGGAAACTCAAAGGGTCGATGTTTATTAACTTAAACCAACCTAAAACTAGGAGCAGGATAACCCTGAGCTGGGCACAATATTGAGAGATCGGTGAGACCAGGAACTACCAGAGGTCGCGATTGCAGAGGTGGAACCTTGGGAGCTGTGCTAGAAACCGGCTCTATGAAGAGTTTATAATTTAAAGTTATTACACTGCCTTCAAAAGACATAATATACTGCCTGAATATTTATTTTGGATTTCTAGTATGATTACCTAAACACCGGCACAGGATAACCTTGAGCAGGACATAAAAGCGCCAAAGTGGAAGAACCCTGATAAGTCTTCATATCGAACTTTGCCAAAGATACCACTTTCGGCACAGTACTGCTAATCGGCTCTGGAAGTTGTTGATACGATTTTAAATAGAGAAAATCTTTAACTACAGGAAAACTGAAAAACTCTCTGAATGTTGGACCTCACCTAAAAGCGGGAACTGGAAAACCCTGCGCGGGGCACATTATGGCCGCGATACCGCTTAGTCGTACGTATTCAATATTTGTTTTCTGAATAAGCGCAACTCTGGGAGCAGCACCACTAATGGGCTCTGAAAAAATTAATCATTATATTCCAAAAACTATTCCATAACCTTTCTAAAGAACTGCCTGAATATCTTAAGAAAGTCACCTGAAAAATGGTACCGGATACGCCTGAGCTGGACAAAGCAAGGTTCCACTCCCTGCTGAGGCAATATCCACATTTCGAGTCTTGTCACCGGAGGTGAGTCGTGGACCAACACTTCCCACAGGCTCTATAAAGTTTTTGTTTTATTATTTAAGAACTAAGTAAGCTTGAAAACTGCCCAAAGCGTTTAGGGATTTACCTAAAAAAGGGCACCGGATAAGCTTGACCAGGACAAAAGAGAGTGCAACTGGCAGCCAATTGAGCCTCGGCATTTTTCAAACGATTCTCTACACTGATTTTGGGAGCTACACTGCCCACAGGTTCTAAAAAAAAATATTGGCAATTTAATTTTAAACTATAGCTAGTACTGAAATCTGCCTGAATGATTGGGTTTACCTGAAGGATGGTACTGGATAGGATTGGGCCGGACAAAAGAGTGTCAAAGTGGCTTTGGATGGGGCACCGGCATCCCTGAGTCGTTCACCCACACTTATTTTGGGACCTACACTGGCAACTGGCTCTGAAAGATAATCAATATTGAAAGCGTCACCGAACTAAACTCAAGTGAAAACTGCCTGAGGGACAATGACTGACATGAGTGGCCCACCTGAATGCAGGAACTGGATAAGATTGAGCTGGACAAAAGATGCTCAAGTCGCCATGCTGTGGAACCTCGGCGTCCTTGCGACGCTCACCCACACTGATTTTGGGCGGCACACTGCCCACAGGCTCTAAAATCAACAGACGTAAGGAGTGAGAACCAGAAATCTATGCTAGGATTGAAAACTGCCCAAGTAACTCGACAATATTGGAATTTACCTGCCAATCAACTAAGTTTTTCAATTGGTAGAGGGGGAGAACTTTGCGTGTCACTGAATGGGTTTAATCGAGCAGCCATTATGGACACAAAGCTAATTAGAGTTTGAAGCCAATGAGGCCTGACGACTTAATCTAAGCTTTCTTGTAATTGGAAAAGTTTTGGCAAACCGCACAATTTGACAACTTGTATGAATTGGCAACAAGTTACCTATAGAAGGGCACTGGATAGGCTTGAGCCGGACAGAAAATGGCTATTGTTCTGCCCTGGCGGATGCTGTCGTGACTGAAGCCGTCCTTTTTGTTGACACGTGGTGCCACACTGCCCACGGGCTCTACAAATTATTAGAAGGGAATTATCAACAGAATAAGCAACTGCCTGGAAAGTTAGGGAGACAAAGATCTCGACAATGACTGACCTATAAAAGGGCACTGGAAATGACTGAGCCGGACAACGAAGTGCCACAATGCCACCAATTCCAATACGATCGTGACTGAACTCGTCGTTTTTATTGACTTTCGGCGCCACACTACCAACAGGCTCTGAAATGAGTTTGATTTAAGTAAGTCCTAGCTATACCTTAAAAACTACTTGAATATGAAAACCTGAGCACTCGACATTACCTATAAAAAGGAACCGGATAGGCCTGAGCAGGACACTGAATGGAAATTGTCATGGAGCTCTTTATACGGTCGTGATTGAACTCATCCTTGCGATTTACCCGGGGAGCAACACTACCAATTGGTTCTGTGAGAAGTTACGTTTTAGTTTTCATTCAAATGGACTGCCTGAATGGGTTTAAATACAAGTCAACGTATATTTAAAGCATTTACCTATAGGCTGGAACTGGATAGGATTGAGCTGGGCAAAGCAATGCAAATGACCTATTAGATTTGGCCATAAATATGCCCAATTTGTCTTTTATCTCAACCTTGGGTGCCACACTGCCAACGGGCTCTGAAAATGTAAGTATTCTAAGTAATACCCTATATCTATATTCTCGAATGAAAAACCTGAACTGATGGGCAGTACTCAACAATGTTTTTACCTAAACGCTGGCATTGGATATCCTTGAGCTTTGCATAAGAGATTCAATGACTTTCTCGATTCTCTAACATTTACACCAAGCTTATTCTCCATATCAACTTTGGGCGCCACACTACCAACAGGCTCTGAAAGAAGGCGTAAATAAATATCGTTCACTAAAAGCTCTGTTCTAAAAAAAACCTGATGGGCTGTACTCGATAATGCTATTACCTAAAGGCTGGCATAGGAAAGCCTTGCGCCTTGCAGAATAAATTCAACGACTTATTCGAAGTTCTGATGGTGAAATCCATCTTATCGTGCATATCAACCTTTGGTGCTACACTGCCCACGGGTTCTGAAATAGTTTTATAGTCAACCAACTGAAGAACTCATATAAAACTTTAAAAACTGCCTGAGAAAGGGTACTAAAAGTCGGAAATCCTACCTATAAGCTGGCATTGGGTATGACTGAGCAGGACACAACAAATTTAAGGCCTGACCCTGAGGTTTGTCAAGCCAAGTAATACGATCTTTTACATCAACCTTGGGAGCTACACTGCCAACGGGTTCTGCAAATAATACATGTTTTTAATAAGAAGCTCCTAACTCTTCTTTGAGTAAACTGCCTGAAAGGAAAGGGGGAAACAAAGCTTACCTAGCAATTGGCATCGGAAAAGACTGAGCTGGACAAAGTAAATTCAAGGAGATTCTTTCAGGTTTGTCAACCCATTTGATCCGATCATTGGGATCCACTTTGGGAGCTACACTGCCCACGGGTTCTACAAAGATTTACAGTGAGCTTAGGGTACCTATAGGTATATCTAGATAAACTGCCTAAATGTTGGGACACTCCCTGAATCACTTGCACTCACCGAAAGGCAGGTACTGGATAGGATTGAGCTGGACAAACTATAGCTAGACTGTGATCCAGGGCCACCCGAGCGTAGTTAATCTCGTCTTTAATGTCAACTTTGGGAGCCACACTACCAACAGGTTCTAGAGCAAAATTATCTCTTTAGTTAGCCTCAAAAAATAAACCTGAGTGTTGGACTAGGGTTATTACCTAAAGAACGGCATGGGATACGATTGGGCAGGACAGATGAGAGCTTTGGATGCGCCCATTCGAGTCCTGGCAAAGGTAAACTCATCACGAGTATCCACTTTGGGTGCAACTGACCCAACGGGTTCTGATTTGGGGAGAATTTTACATTATTTATCGGCCAACTAATAACTGAATGTTGGTCAAGGATATCGAAACTAACCTAACGATGGGTACCGGATACGCCTGGCCAGGACATTGCATGGAAAAGTCCTCAGCTAGCTTTACTTGGAGCACTTGAAACTTGTCGTGCAAGCTTGTTATCTTGGGCGGAACTGATCCAATAGGCTCTAGATATTAAGGGAAAACATTTTAAAATCTTCGGAAAACTAAAACTCCTGGAATGCTGGGATAGAATGACCCACCTAACAACCGGAACCGGATAGGCTTGACCTGGACACTGCATTGCAAAGTCACTTTCCAATTTAACCTGCATCAGTTGAAACTTGTCGTTGATGTTGTTGATCTTTGGTGGCACAGAGCCAATGGGTTCTGGAAAATCAATTGCAATTAGACCCTCAGAAAAACCTAAGCCAAAAAAGTCTAAATTTATGTTGGGATAGGCATTCATGGCATTACCTATTTATGGGTACGGGAAAAGCCTGACCAGGACATTGCATGGCATACTGGGTTCCCAAAAGGACCTCCATTGTGCGAACTCTTTCCAAGAGGTTCAATTTTGGAGGTACTGAAGCAACGGGTTCTAAGGAAAATGAGAGCTATTGTAGTCAAGGTTTAATAAACCAATTTCTGCCCAAATGTTGGAAGCTAACAAATAACCTCATAGGTTTTTATTAGGGATACCTACCTATAGACGGGAATGGGATACGACTGGGCTGGACATTTCAAGCTTAAACTCCTGCCCACATAGCCACGGGCATTGGCCACTTCGTCATCTATGCTAACTTTGGGAGGCACACTGCCAATGGGTTCTGAAATAGAAGCAAACGCTGAACTAATCAAGGAACTACCCCTGCAACTGACTGAACTGGGATTGGATAATAGAATAATAACTTAAATAGCATTGTCTGAAATTCGAAGAACGCCCTGTAAATTGTAAAATGTTCTAAATTGGGATGGCATGCAATCCGCACCTGTGGGCAGGAATCGGATATGATTGGGCCGGGCAAAGCAAAGCGATCCCGATTCCCTGGGACATCTCGCGTGTTTGCAGTTTGTCCTGAACATTTATTTTCGGCTTGACAGAACCAACGGGTTCTAGGGGAAAAATCATGAGAGTGAGTCACGAAAAAGCTGGGAAAACTGTCTGATGTTGGCGAAAAAGGGAAAACCCACCTGAAGGATGGCGTAGGATACGACTGAGCCATGCAGAGGAGGGAATAACTGCTGGACAGCTCTACGTCAATGAACTGGTGTTTGTCTTGGGGATTCACCTTGGGTCGCACACTGCCCACGGGTTCTAAAATTTGAAAGAGTTTCCCAGGGCCTTAGAAAACCTGACTGAATGTTTGTGAATATTCTTTAGTAAAGCCTCATTGAATCTTACTTAAAAACAGGCATGGGATACGACTGCACCGGACACTGAATGTTGAAACTTATGCCGCTCTGAATCTGCATCATTCTAAAACGCTCCAGAAAATTTAGCTTGGGCGCCACACTGCCAACGGGTTCTACAAAATTATAAGTCTTTAAGTTCTTCAACTACCTCATTGAAGAGTTTTTTAAAAGACACAACTAATCTGTGAATGTTGGGCTAAGGAGTTGAAGTTTACCTAGAAATTGGCTGCGGATACGCTTGAGCCGGACACAAAAGACTTAAGCTATGCAATCTTTTGACCTTCACGTGCTTCAGGTCGTCGGAATTGGTAATCTTGGGACTGACACTACCAATGGGTTTTGCAAGAGGTTATCATTTAATCTGCTGAAAAATCCTTTAATCTAAATGGAAACTGCCCGAAAGGGAATTTAGGAATACTTTTATAAAACGTTTACCTAAAGAAAGGTTGCGGATAACCTTGAGCCGGACAGAGTATGCTCAAGGCCTGACTGCTCTTTCCCTTAAGATGTTTGAAATCTTCCCCTGTATTTATCTTGGGACTGACACTGCCAACGGGCTCTATAAGGAAATTACGAAGTTTGGTATTTAAAAAAGCTAAGGTATACTGCCTGAAATGGGAAGGACTTGACTTGGAGATAAAGCTGAGTTACCTATACACAGGAACTGGGTAAGCCTGAGCTGGACAGAGGAGCGTAACACTAACTTCTCTTTTAACCTTCACCGTTCGCGAATCATCGCCAGATGTGAGTTTTGGTCCAACACTGCCAACGGGTTCTTAAACAATGTTCGAAATGAATAAAAGGGGTAAACTCGGGACCCTGCCTGAAGTTGGGACTTAAACTAAGACCTTTACCTAAAGAAGGGCACTGGATAGGCTTGAGCCGGACACATGAGTGTTACACTACCCATCCTAGGAACCCGAGTGGAGTTATGTGCTCCTGATTGCCATTGCCACTTAGCTGAGGACTGACACTGCCAACGGGTTCTGTCGAGTATTGTATGTTATAAGGTCGGAAATAAATATAGAGCCTAAATGTTGGGTTGGGTTTACCTAAAGAAAGGCACCGGATAGGCCTGAGCCGGGCAAAGAAGAGTGGCACTTGCTGCCAGATACACCCTGAGAATACGCGACTCATCTCCACTGGTAAGACGGGGACCAATACTGCCAACAGGCTCTGGGAAATGGGAAACAGGAACCCAATAAAATAACACGAAAGGAAAACCTTCAGTTGGGAAAGGCGTGTAGCTTACCTAAAGAATGGCACTGGATATGATTGAGCTGGACATAACATGGTGGTGGGTTGGCCAGAGGAAAACTGGACGACTTTAATGTCATTACCCGAGAGAAGTCGGGGCCCAACACTCGCAATGGGTTCTTGAAAGATTTTAAGGGATTTTGAAATATAAAACTTATAGGGCTTAACAGAAATCTGAATTGCAAACTGGCGGGAGTTGGTCTTTGAGTTTAGATATTTCCCCTAGAGATTCGAGATTCATTAGTCCTACCTAAACATGGGAGCTGGATAGGCCTGGGCGGGACAGAGAAGGGTTTGACTAGAGCCTTCGTCTCCTGTGAAACTGCTGCTGGTCAGAGTATTGGGAAACTTGGGTGAAACCCTGCCAACTGGTTCTGTGAATGAAGCGAAATGGTTCAACGTTATTAACCTTACAGATAATGCCAATAAATAAAGATAGAACAAGAACTGAAGTGTGACTTACCTTGGGCGCAGTTCGAAAGAGAATACTAAGTGAAAGTTGCCAAGGACTTGGACTTGAATTATAACTTAACTACGATGTTGCCTTTAAATTGGTTTTACTTGAGAACGGACCACACCTACTCTAATCGGCTTTATTTCAAGCTCTCATCATTGTCGAGTACCCTATCCCAACATTCAGGCAGTTTTCAATTTAGACTTAGGCTACAGCAACAAGTCCTTGTTCATGGCCACAAGGGGATCGATTGTTTTAACAATTTACATCAGTTCGACTATTTTTCGCAAATATGTTAGTTTATTTAATGTTCGCAAAGAAAGAGATTTTAAGCAAAAAATCGTTTTGATTGCATTTCAAAAATAACAAGGAATTGTTGCATGTTTATATATGTTTTTTATAATTTTTTGGAAACTGCAAACGCTTTTACATTATAACTGAAATATTTTTATCCGCTTGCTGTTTCCAAAAAAAAATGCATCAAATATTTGAAATATGTTTTAGGCTTTTATTTTGTAAACTTTTTGAAACATTTATCAATGTGTTTTTAAACTGAATTTTTATTATAACATTACAATATTTCAAACATTTGTGAAGCATTTGGGAAACGGAACAAATCGTAACTTTAAGTTTTGTTATTGCATTTACAATTTGTTCCATTTCCTCTTAACATATCTGAGAGTAAACTTCAAATAGCTTATATTATATTTTTATAAACATTTGAAATATTTTAATTCTGTAATATTTAAATTAACATTTAATATATATAAATTAACATTATCAATTTATCATATTTATAACTTTTGAAAAAAGCTAATCTTTGGTTTGAAATTTACTCTACAGTAAGAAACCTTCAACTATTGACGGTTTTAATTTTTGTACAGTAATATAATTTATGACCCTTATTGATTTAAGAGTGCAAGCTTAAAATTGTTCAGAAAATATCAATAGCTGAAGTTTCTTATTAAGTCATATGTAAAGAAATTGGCCAACAAGGCGGACTTACCTGTAATAACCAATCGTCCTTTGGTGGCACTCAATCGGGTCTCTCCGGTCAATCGATGTTTGGTTCTGCACTGGTAGCTCTTGTATCCATCTTCGGGTCCAACTTCACGGATGTGCAACTCTCCAGAGGGCAGTACAAGGTATTTTCCATCTGATTACAGAGTGGTTCAGTTAAAAACAATGTTAGTTATGTCTTGTCGGCTAACTTTGCAAATTTATTTACATTTAAGTACTTACAATGGAAGAAACTCAATTAAGTAACGTGCATTTAATTGAATTTATTCGCAATACATTCAAAAGCCACATGGCTTTTGGCTAGATATTAATTTAATTTTATTTTCATTAGCGTGTTTTGTATTATTTTTTATTGTGCAAAAAATTTTTATTGATAAACGCTGACCATGCAATGTGACTTTTAAATGATTCATGTTAATATAGTAATTCGAGACTGAATGAGAAGCTTTTTTATGTTGTTAAGTAACTTAATTATACCTTTAACGATGACATTTTTTAATTGTTTTTTTTTTTGTGAGGAAGTTTAACCACATCTTTTTATAGCTTGTAAAGTTCTCTTTTAGTCTCATTTTAAGAATTGTGTTTCGATTTCCTTGTGAACTTTTGTTTTACCGAATCGATTGTATTTTAACACAATTCCATGCTTACAATCTAACTATACACCAGCAATGCCAGGAATTTGTGGTATAAACAAATTGAATTGAACCAGAGTGATGGATCGTAAGCTATTTACACTTTGAATAGAGAAACAAATTTACAGCTCGTATAGTTTACTTGATATTCTTAGATCGAGTCTCAACAAATTCCATGGCATTGTTTTTTTTTCTAGACATGCGTTAACAAAAATGCCAATAATCTTAAATGATTTGCGTTTTACATATGTATATATTTCTGGTATATACAGCAATGTTTGGATTATTCATTTTATATGAGACATATGTACAGATTGTTAGATGACTGACTGTTTATTAGCATTTTTGCATGTATTTACACTACGCTATTTAATCAACGCTACGTTCAACTACATGAAGGGGTTTCGGTTTCTTTTGGGCAAGTCAGGAGCGACTCATGGATTTGTGGGAGGGTAAAACTAATAAAAGGTTGAGGAGGGGGCAAAAAAAGAAATAAAATTAAAAGGAAAGACGGACAGAAAGAAAGAAAGATACAAAAGAAGGCAAATCGAAAGCCTAAGCAGCGCTGAACTTGGAAAAGATTCCTATGAAAGAGATGAAGGCCAGATCGAAGCGAACCGAATTGGATGGGAGACGCAGGATTTTACGGAGGAGCAGTTATTCTTATTCTGTTAATTTACCGCTTTCTGCGATATCCTCCTGCGGATAGATAACTCGCTCCTCGTCCTCCACCCACGAATCGACCACTATGAAATCGGCCACAAAACTGGGAATGTGGCACTTTAGGATGGCGCTATTGCCCCTCAGTATGGACTCGTCCATGACATTGACGGTGTAGGATTGTGGCACAACTGCAAAGTTTACGGAGAGATTGATTGAGTGGTGAGGATGGGGGATTGTAAATCATAAGGATAAAAGAGGATCCCCATTCATGTAACTAAGCGAACTGCAAGATGAAGCTCTGGGTCCTACCGGTGATGTTCTTCGTGAATACCTCGCCCTCGGTATCGATCCAATCGGTTATGTCTATGTGATCCGCCACAAATGAGGGCGTCTGGCACTTGAAAATGGCCGCGTTGCCCTTGATCACATACTCGTCGTAGACTTGCGACTCGAAAAACTGCTTTACCACTGCAAGACGGGCAAGACGGGGGTTAAACTAAAATCAGGACTGGGAGGGGTCTGTAGGTTGGAAGTTTCGTACTCTAACTACGCTAATGCCGAAGATCTTAACCAATGGTTACCAATGGAGTCGTCCGGGAGAGGTCTCAGTATCTCGACGCCCTCCTCGTCAATCCAACCCTCGACATCGATGAAATCGGCCACAAATGAAGGCACCAGGCACTTTAACGTGGCCGAGTTGCCACGCAGCACAAACTCATCGATTACCCGTGTCTGGTAGAACTGGTGGACAACTGAAGGAAATCAGAGCGAACTTGATGAAATAAAAACTAAAGGATATAGTAGGGAAAAGGTTGCTGGAGATGTATGCTTAGTAGGGCCTAAAAGAACTAGAGCAAAGAAAGCTGGCCAAGTACCCGTCTCCTCGGCATTGTTGGGATAGTAGTTGCGACCCTCCGAGTCCAGCCAGAGATCAACGAATACGAAATCCGCCACATATGAGGGAATCTCGCACTTCATCACCACAGAGTTGCCCCTAATTACGTACTCATTGTCTGCCTCCGATTCGTAGCTTTGAATCACCACTAATCCAAAAAGAATAAAGTTAAAAAGCGTGAAAAATAAGAACGGGGAATCAGAGTGGGGTGGAAGCTAAGACCTATCGCAAAACTTATCGAAATAAAATATGTTTTGATTAGACTGTACCATAGGCGCTGGTCGCATTGTTGCGCCACAACTCAGTGCCCTCCTCGTCCACCCAGGCCTCAACCTGAACGAAATCGGCGACGAACGAGGGAATCTTACACTTGACCACCGCCGCATTGCCTTTAATCACATATTCATTCTCGGCTTCGGTTATGTAGAACTGCGAAACGACTTTGAATCGAAGAAATAAAATAAATAAACTATGGGAAAACGGGGAATACTGGGAAGGGAATGGATGAAAGCACTAAATTAAGCCTAAGACTATTGAGAGAATATCTTGGCATCGAACCGTAGTTGTCCGAAAAGGACAGGACATTGCCCTCATCATCGATCCAGGACTCCACTCGAACAAAATCAGCCACAAACGATGGAATGGAACACTTCAAGACGGCAGCATTACCCCTGATGACATACTCGGTCATTATTTCTGCCTCATAGAACTGATTGACAACTGTAAGGGTGTGCAATAACGAAAGAATTTAGAAAAAGATAAAGTTGGGAATTGGATAAGGAATGAAACCCCCACAAGTTGTTGCATATGAAATTATTTTAGACTCCTTGGTAGTACCATAATCCTCAGAAGGTCGCAGTTCGGTTCCCTCTTCATCTATCCAGGATTCGACGCGCACAAAATCGGCCACAAACGACGGAATGGAACATTTCAGAACTGCCGCATTGCCCCTAATGACATACTCCATCAGGATATCGGCGCCGTAAAACTGATTAACAACTGCGATTCGAAAAAAGGGCAAAGTTCGGAAATGAAAAAGAAGCTGAAGCTAATGAAGCTAAGAAGTAGGATAGGAATGGGGTTCCTGCTTAGGACTAACATCTTAACTATTTCAAGGGTCGATGACTGTACCAAAATCCTCTTCCGGAGCATACTCGGTGCCATCACTGCCCACCCAGGCCTCGACTCGCAGGAAATCGGCCACAAAACTGGGAATTGTGCACTTCAATACCGCCGTATTGCCTCGGATAACGTACTCGGAAACAACCTCAGCCTCGTAATACTGATTCACGACTGTAAAGCAAGAGTTTTTATGAGGGGGAAACGAAAAGAAATGAAATGGCTGAAAATAGTGGGTATGTTGTGGGATGGGTTCTGGATAATCCTAAATAACCATTAAATTTTGTGATTGTTCATGTGTACCGGTTCCCTGTTGATCGCCAAGTGAGCCGTACAGCTTGCCCTCTTCGTCCTGCCAGGATACGACCTGCACAAAGTCCGCAACAAAGGAGGGAATCGAGCACTTTAACACCGCCGCATTGCCCCTTATGACGTACTCGTTGTTGACCTCCGATTCGTAGAACTGTTGCACAACTAGAGGTAAGTTCACACAGCCACTGATTACATAATGAAAGTACGGGGGGAGGTAGTAGGGAAAGATGAGGCACCTCCATAGAATCCAAAACCAAACCTTGCGTGCGGCGGGCGTGTGAAAATGTGAAGCTAGCTAATTGAAACGAGAGTGTCTTCTAATATCGCGGAGTGCACTTAATGGGACTCAAAGCGCAATCAGCTTGCCAGCTCCGCGCTTCCCTGGGAAAGTCGCTGGCCAAGAGGTTAATAATGGGTCTGATAACATGGCTCATCAACACGCAGTAGTCAACCGAGATAGCGAAGATAAATGCATAAAAAGTAAACATAATAGATGCAGGAGGGAAAATGGTTGGGTACTTATCCGTAATACTTCTATGTCAGGCAACTGTACACAGCCTAAGTAAAACTAACCCAAAATGTAGTCAAAAGGTTAGCAAACAAACCGTATTCGCTGCCTGGCAAAAAGTCCTCGTTCTGATCGGTGTGCCAGGAGACAACGCTCACGAAATCGGCCACAAAGGACGGGATTTCGCATTTCAAAACCGCCGCATTGCCGCGTATTACATAGGCCTTATTTACATCGGTGTCGTAGTATTGGGCAACGACTAAAACAGCAATCAAATAAATGCATTTACGTAATGAAACCGAAAAGAAAGTATATATAAGTCTGGAAGAACTGAAAATAAGTCACTGAAGAATCGAGTAAGGGAAAACGAAGGAGCGAAGGATCCCAAACGGTTTCTGCCTGACCAGTGTTGGTTAATTAAGTTACGTTTTGAGTTCAGTGTGTTGTATATTTTACAGAATTTTGTAATTAGTGTTGCAGTTTGCCCGTTAACTGTACTTGCACTGTGCACAAGTGTTTCGGTGAGTTTTTTGGCTTTGTAGTGTTGTACAGTAGTGGTTAGGGTTGTGCTATTTTTCTATAAGCTCACAAAACAGAGACAGTACTTCTGTGCACTTAATCACACACACCATATTCAGTGCCTGGATAGAAATTCTCTTGCTCATCGCTATGCCAGGATATGACATTCACGAAATCGGCTACGAACGACGGTATATCACATTTCAAGATGGCGGAATTGCCGCGGATGACAAAAGCCTTGTGTATATCCTCTTCGTAGTGTTGCGAAACGACTAAACAGGCAGGAGAAACGAAAATAATAGTGAGTTGCAGATTTAAATAAGGGATGAATGATGATTGGAATGGAGGGGTTTTTAATGACACTTCCGAAATCGCTACGCCAGCATGCTTTTAGTAGAGCAAAACTATTTATTTGCTATGGCTTTTTCGAATCGCACCGTATTCCGCTCCCGGAAAGTAGTTCTCCTCCTCGTCGGTGTGCCAGGATACCACCTCCACGAAATCGGCCACAAACGAGGGAATCAGACACTTGATGACCGCCGAGTTGCCCCTTATAACATGCTCCTTGTTTACATCCGCCTCGTAGTATTGCGCAACCACTGGGAAAAGGGCAATCATTACAGATTATGTCGGACATTTATTTCCACAGTCCACAAATGTCGCGATTAGGAACTGAGTTCCTGGAAAAATCTAGCTTTATGGTCAGAAATTCATTAAACGAAAAACCTTGAAACCGCCTGACAGGCAAAGTTAATTTCAATTAACCAAAATATTGTTCAGGGTGCCGACCATAACTCATTTCGACCAACTAGCTACGGGCCGGCTGGACAGAATGTTTTTCCTCGTCTACGCTTTATTCACACATAAGCATACTATAAAATGATAAATTCTTCCGGTTAATAGCAAGCGAAAGCAAACGACAATAATGATGTCAGGCTTGGGGAACGGGGGGCGAATAGGTCGAGAGGTGGTCTTCAGGCTAGGTGTGCTGGCTAATTGCCAGGGAACACGTCAGCTGGGCGATGAGTAAGCGGGTGGCACGGCTCCAACATAATTAGCTAAAATGTGCTCAAGTCTGGCCCATTTCGGCTCTGCTTCATGGAAGCGGAAGTGACTGATATCCCAGGGAGTTGAGTCTGGGCCATAACTCGATCAGCTGGCAACATGTCAACCCCATACGGTGTGGTCTAAATAAGGTGACAATTTCATCATCATCATCATTATCATCAGCGTGTTGGTGGTGTTCGTCGTCGTTGTCGTTGGGGATTGCACATCTTCCAGGGGAGCTGTCAAGGGCTGATGAAAAGACTTTCGCAAATGGCAAGTACAGTTGCCGTCAAAACACCGGCACAGGAAGTAATGCAGCGAAAACGAACCGATTACAGGGAAATGCCAACTTGCAACTTAAATTCCCCCGCACGTTGCTGAGCTCGACTAAGAAATGTGTGAAAATGAAAGCGTGCGGAAAACTTTGGCAATTCGCAAAACGTTCGATGGAAATCCCGTGAAAACTCCGTTTTAATTGCCACAGCCGGTGCAGCAATAAGTCAAACACAAGGGGTTAAAGACTGCAAAGAGCGACTTGACACGCAAAGGCAACTGGCAGCGAAATAGTGGAAGTGGAGATACGAAACCAACGCTGATGTGTCTTCATTTGGGTGTAGCTGCAAAATAAATGGTAAACACAGGGCAGTGCAAGATTTCATGTTGGTTTTTATAATGAATATGTTAAATAAACAATGTAAATGCAGATACATTATTCTGAAAATTCACTTGTAACAAGATGTCTTCTTTTTATTTTCCTATAATCCAATTAAATACCCCTCTTATTTCAGTTAACTTTTCTTTTAAGTATTTTGGGTTTCTTTAAATTAAAATAATCAAAGTTAATAAATTGTTTGACTTTAATGCTAATATTAACGACCTATATCGCAAGTTAAACACATTTTTGAATTTATTTTCCAATCTCTGTTAGTTATTTTTCCTTTTTAATGGAACAATTTAAATAAATTTTTGAATTTATTTCCCAATCTTTGTTATTTATTTTCCCTTTTAAATGGTGATGAACTGACCCTCGTTTAAATGTAGTTTCCTGACCAACATCTTACTTGCACTGCCCTTTATTTACCTTGGAGCCCTGGCAACTTACCGGCTCGCACATGCACATCCCGGGAGATGATGGATCCAAACTGGTTGCGGGCTAGACAGGCGTACACCTGGGCATGAACCTCCTGGCGGTAATCCTCGGCGCGGAATGGCGGGAAGACCAGCTTGCCGTCGGAGGAGATCTGACGCAACCCGGGAACGTCGCCCACAGCGGTGCCATCGCTTCGGATCCAGATAATCTCGGGCATGGGGTTGCCACTGGCCTTGCACTCGATCTCTGCGCCGGTGGAGTTGGAGAAGTCAATGCGATTGGTGGGTTCCTTTAAAAAGACTGGTCCTTTTTGGTCGGCATCTGGGGGATTGGCAGCTAAAGTTTGGCTGCCACAAGCTGAAAAAGGAAGTTATAAATTAGTGGATGTTTTTAAAATAATTTTTAAATAAATAATAATTAATTATTATGTGTTTATAAAGTCGAAAGTTGGTGATCTATCGGTTGGTTTTTGTAGATATAACTTGCTCTATTTTCATAGCTCAAACTCACATCCGTAGAGGCGATCAACCAACATTTGGCTACGCTCTATGGTCAGAACATCCGCAGCGGAAGTGCATTCTCATATCCATGTCAACATGTTTGGCTATTGTTCCAGCCATGGTTGTTTGACAATTGAGGGCCATGGATCAGTGACTCCTCGGTGCTAGACCCCCAACAAAAGCAGTATTCAATTCCATACGTTTTTTTCTAAACCAGTCAAAGCCTGAGTTCCATTTCCACCCACTACATTTTTTTTTTTTTTTTTTTTTTTTTTTTTTTTTTTTTTTTTTTTTTTTTTTTTTTTTTTTTTTTTTTTTTTTTTTTTTTTTTTTTTTTTTTTTTTTTTTTTTTTTTTTTTTTTTTTTTTTTTTTTTTTTTTTTTTTTTTTTTTTTTTTATTTTTTTTTTAATTTTTTTTTTTTTTTTAAATTTTTTTTTTTTACATAAGCCTCCAACTGGATGACAAACAAAAGACAAGCAGGCGAAAATCGTTCGTTGACACTTTACAGACTCCACCCACTTCCCTACCTCTTTCACCCTGCTTTTGTTGATGCCGTCACTGTTGCATTGGCAAACAATTTCATATTTCATTTTATGCATCGCCATGCTGCTTGGAATTCCCCTCTTCCCGTAAATTTTGTATTACCAAAGGTGTCAACAAGTTTCTGTACGCCCCTTTACCCATAGAGTTCGCATGCAATTTTCAAGGCGTCCGCCTGCAATTTGTCTAAGGAAAAAGCTATTGTTAACTTCGGCCATACGAGTAATTTGCATTCTAGAAACAATTTAAATAGTATGACAGGGATATGACATAACAGCAAATAAAAGTTACATTGCCAAATATTACATTACATCTTTAAGATTGAAAAATGGATGAATTTATTAAGAACTAAAATTTATTTTGTATACTTAATTCCTTAGTTCCTTACACCACAAACTGTTGTTAAAAAGTTTGGATAAATAGAAAGTCACTTAATGGAAAATTACAGGAAAGTAAGTATTATATTAAGAACCAAATTCAAATGTACTTTTTCGTATCGTAGTTGACAATGTGTGCGTGATCTGAAATTCCATCAAATTACTTTCGGCTTTTTTCAAGTAATTTCTAAGGCTGTCATTTACCAAATAAATTACTCAATTGATGTCGTTTAAAGATTTTAATTGAGCGGGGAAAAGAGGAGGCACACAGGAAATGTCGCCTTCATATTTAATTATACAAAATTTCCTTTTGAACGAAAAGTGGTGCATGCGAGATGAGGCCTAAAAGTCTTACAGTGTGTTGCAAAACATTAAGAATTAATAAATTTTTATATCTTTTAAGAAAAGATTAATTATATAGTCTTTAAAAATAATGATTCTGATTTGTTGTTTTTTTTTTTTTAATTTAAATAAATACTCCTTGCAAACGATTCAAAATGTGGGATGCCTTATAGTCACAGGACAGACTGTATCTGCAAAACACATATATTTTTGCATTAATATATATTATTCAGCATATGGTGGCCATACGGAATACAAAACGTAAAGTCTTGGATAGACGTGCGAAAAACACTAAAAACTGTGGGTAAGGAAGGAAATAAGAAATAAGAAATAAGAAGAGCGAATGAAATTTTGCAACTGTTGGTGTTATTGTGGCTTGAAAAATTAATATGATTTATCGGGGGAAATTAAGATTCGCAAAAACGCAATCCTTTATTCTTCCGTTTTCTACGTCTTTTTCTTCATATCCAATTTTTCGATTGGATATTTATATATTAACAACGTTTTAAAGTACACCTGCCTTTAACTTGTGCTTTGCTTTGCGCTGCAGCAAAGATAGCAGGTGTATTTTATTTTACTTTTTTCGTTCCCCAAACCTAAAGCTCTGCGAACAAAAAACATGCAGAACGAAACCGGTTAAGAAGCCGGCTTAAAAAAAGCAAAACAAAAAAGCAAAGTAAGGTAGTGCGCAATCATAAGAAAAAGCAAATCCAAAGCAAAAGCAGAACTGCGATGTCAACGGCGGCAAAACTCAAGTTAATCAAGAGCTCGAATTTTTGCTTGTGGAATATGTTAACTTTTTCGCCTCGCAATTTTCCACTCAAGCGGGCAATTTGCAAAATTTGATGATAATTTCGAAGATGATGATGATAATGATGATGCAGTTGCCAACATCTAAGGTCACATTATCAAGTTTAAGGAGGGCAAGTGACTCAGCTTGAAGTGTTTTTCATATTTTCATGGGCAAACAGAAGCCAAGAAGGTAGAGAGGGCTAGAAACATAAGCAAAGCAACTGGGTAAAATAATAATAAACTATAACAAGGGGAGTGGCGTACAGAACCAAGAAAAATAGTGATAGAACATAAATAACTGGCAAAAACACGCGATTCGAGAGGTGTCCAATTACGACATCCAACCCGCAATGAGAGCAAAACAATTATCGAACCGAAATTTGAGGTCTTTAAACACGACACTTGAAATGGGTTTACATTTTGAGGAATTAATAATATTTGAGATATTTTCGGGAATTATTACGTCTCCATCGAAGTGCTTCCGCCTAGCTAATTAGCTTATTTCGTGGCACATACAAACCCTTAACACCTCTCGAAGGGGGAAATTGGAAACTAATAACTTCCGCCTAAACAAAAACAAAGGGCCTAAAAGTTCAATAAGCACACACGCATGACCCCGCCTTCTGAAATTAGTCCACATCACGCACTCTTGTCATCGAGGTCAGCCACGAAGGAACGGACTGCCCAGGATGGGCAATGGCTTCCCACCAATCTAAATCGGAATATTCGCTCTCTACCTGAACCAAGTGAATCTAGACTACTTCACCGTGATTCCGATCGGTAAAAGAAAGAAACATCTGCTCGGGAGTTCAGAAACCAGTTCGACAGCTGTTCGGCGGAGGAGTGCTGGGGGAAATGGAGAACAGGTATTGGAATCCCAATGCCAGCGTTACCCACTCATTCATGCGAATCGTGCGGCATTTACCCACACACTCATCACGATCAGTTACAGTCCACAAAACATTACATTACCAATTACTTGTGTGGATTTTTAAATGAAAATAAAAAAAGTTCACAGAGAAAACTCATTTATAATTTAAGTCAATAATATAAATTGAAAATAAAGCACGTTTTTAAACAGATTGAAGAAGTCCTCAAATCGAGATCAAGTTTCTAAATTATTTGATAACTTTTAGATTTTATCCTGCAATTTATTTATCGTATTTTTTCTATAATGGAACGCTAGCGAATAAATCAATTTACAAAACAATTTATAAATTTCCATGTTGGTATTATACAGACATAATAAAAGATTGTTTAGCATTTTCAGAAAAAAATTTTTTAATTGAATATTCAAATAAAAAATTTTTATTTTTTTTCTTACTTGTTTAAATTTTTTATTATTTTGGAATCTAAAATACTATCTTAATAACTCACATAAGTTCTCAGTGGACAGACACCAACTTATTGTGTAAAGAGTGACACAGATAATTGCAGACGCACTGCCCACGCGATTCTAACAGCTATTTGGCTGGCACCTCCGATTGCCGCCGACTGCAAGTCACCCGTGGAAAGGTCCAAGACCGCAAGCTACCCGTAGCTCACCTGTCCACCTCATCGTAACTCGGAAGATGACAGGGAGTCACGGTGACGACACGCCGCACTCGACAGAAGCTGACAAGAGGAACAACAAGAACACCGGTGGCAGAGAGCAACAAAAACCGCAAGCCAGGTGCCAAAATAGGGAGCGGAGAGAGAAACACCGTTAAGTCGACAGGAGACAAAAGTGGGACGAACTGGGGCAGCCACGTGGAAGCTAGATACATTTTAGGGGGGCAGACGGAGGGCCACATATGATGATGATGCGGCTGATTCCAGTGTCAGTAAATGTCAAGCCACAGTGGGCATAATCAAATAATTGTCGATTGGGTATGATTAGATTTCGAAACTCAGGGTAAAAATAACTATTTGGATTACAAGCACCTAAAAAAAAAAATAATTAAATTTTATTCTTAAAAGAAAATAATATAATATAATAATTTTCAAGGTAATATTTTAGTCCCAACACCACTGTTTCCAAAGAGGAACTGGTATCAGAAGCTGTAGCGAGGGGCTAAAAGAGAGAGAGATTGAGAAAGAAGAACTTGAGCTTGAGGGTGGATTTGTTGTATAATTGAAAGCGTTGCGAAACATTTACAGGGAGAAGAGCAAAATAAAGAAGAGGGCACACGTGCATAATTTTTAGCATGTATAGGAATGTATCTCAAAGATACAGTGGTCTCAATAAAATTCACAAAAAACGGGGGATAAAATACAACAATATAACTTAACTAAATAATTTAAAATATATAAACTTCTTTAATACTTTTGTTCTAAAATATGCAAGTAAGTACATCTAAGGTGTCTAGCCAAAGAGACCACTGTATGCAAACTTCCTATAACCAAATAAAGATGTGTTCAACGACAGCGACAGTAGCTTTAAAATGAAATACATATAAAATGTCTGGGGTATGACGAAGGGAAGACCAACAGCGTACGCGTTTTGCATATGAAATCGTGTTGACGTCGTCATAGTCTCGAGCGCATTAATTAAGACTGCCAGGACGCCAAAAGACTTTTTAAAAACTTGTATATGCATATGAACACATTCGTATGTACCTACAATTTAACTTTAAATACTTTTTTTGTCGCATGCAGATTATGGAGATGGAAATAATACGAATGGGCTGAGAGTTGGCAGCCCCCAAAAAAAGAAACGTGACTCAGGAACCATGGAAGAGGTGCAAGGGGCCTCCAATCAAATCCCGCATTCGAAATGCCTGGACGTGCGCGATCCATAGATGATGGGTGCCTGATAAATATCAGTTCTCTGAGGCTGTTGGACTGGAACTGGGATCGGTAGATGGGTGAGGCCATGAACATATTTTACAAATTATTATAGCGACTTGATTCCATTCCATTTTTAGGGGGCGCCAAAACGATGTTAATCCTCCCTCACTCTTTCCCGCATTCACACATGAAGTTGTTTTTGAGATATCTTCGACTCGTATCTTTCCACATAAAAGATTTCTTTTCATTTAACGCTACATTATTTATGATATCTTATGAGCCGAGACTAAATTCTCCGTTAAGATCTGACTTCTGGATTTCTAAAAGTTACAGAAGTAATTGTGTTACTTTTAACAATTAATTTAATAAAGGTTTATAATATAGTTATCATTTGATATATTTATATTTCAGTATCTTTTGTTTACATTTAATAAAATATTGCTCAGCATTTTAAGGTTCCGTATATGGCGCCTAACCACTTTAGAAGAGTGGCAACTGGCAACCATAGCAATAGCCGTGTAATACACCCACAACACCCTTCTTGGCCAGCTAATTCGGTCGCCGGGGACGGCGTAAAGGGGATTCCCAGCGCCAGGAGCTCGCCGAGTGAAATGCGGCAACGGCGCGTCGCTCCAAATCAGCTTGTCAGGCAGCGAGACATAAATAAGTATAATCATTTTCCAGAGGGGAGGATACTGTTTTGGCAGAGAGGAGATGGAAATGCGTGCCGACAACGTGGCCCTTAGTCATTACAGCTGTTTCGGGCTGCCAGGGGAGCTGGATGAGGGTGGATGGCACTTATTTTCTCTCTTCTCGGGTAAATCAAAAGTGTGCAGCCCAAAACATTTGGAGCAAATCTTGGCTGGCAAACTAAACAAAACATTTCTCATTTTTCACAACTTTTTCTCTCCACTGCGAATTAAGGGTGACAACAAAAAAGGAGAGAGCGCGAAAGACTCTTGGGTTTTCCACTAACGGAGGGGTTGAAAGAAAACTTTATTGCCGAAGTTTTATAAGTCCCACTAAGAGCTGCATTTACTCCACACCCACTTAAAAATATCTGAAAATATTTTCTGGCAGGCCCCATAAATTCTTCGACTCGCTGCAGCTCATAAAATATTTTGAGTTAACTTAATACTTTCTACATATATCCATCTAAAAGTTTGGGAAATTCCGGCAGCACTTAAAGAGCTCACATGTATGACAAATGCTCTTAATGGGCCAACAAACGCTTTGATGCCCTGAAATGTCGTGTCTTTTCGGCGGATTTGTAAAGAATTTTAGAAAAGAAAATCCGACAAGATTCTTTTGAAATGCAATCAGCTCGGCAACGTTGCCAACTTTCAGCATCATTATAAGGCAATTATTTACGCAATTATCGAAAACTTGCTCCACGCTTGCCGCTTCGCCATTTTCCAATCTTTATACTCCATTCAAGTTGACAAACAGCTTTTGAACTATTGCAAATGGGCAAAAAATAGGCTGCAACGGCTCATAAAACAGCAGACTGCATTGTGACGTCACAGGGGAGTGATGTACATTCTCCCGGTGGCTTTCCCCATCTTTCTTTCCCTCCATCCCGAATCGAAGTCACATTCCTGTGCCTGCGGCGATGCAACTAATAATAAGTCCGGCGAGAGGCCATTAAGTTGGGGGCAATATTCTATTGAACCGTCTGCAGTTGCTGTTTTCCTCGGGCAAGGAAAATTGGAAACACGAAAAAAAATACTAGGTTGAAAATGTATAATATTAAATAAACCAAATAAGCTTAAAAACTTCAAGAAATTATTTTTCATTTTTTTATTTATTATTATTTTATTTTTTTTTCCTAATTATATATGTAAGCTTTGAAGTATTCAATGGCATAATTTTTCTAGGTGTATAAGAAGATGAGAGCCCAGCCCCTCGGTGTTGCTTAAACAAACCCCGCGTGTGATGCGCCTCAATCGTCGAGGTATCATAACACATACGGCGTGGAGGGCTAAGAAAGTGTCAGGAGGGGCACATCAATCATTTGTAATTACGACAGGCTTTTTCCATCTTCCATAGCTCCATCCTCACATTTCGGCTCCTTTCTTCCCATTCTTTCCCATTTGGTTTTGTGTAGAAACGGAAATAGTTCTTTCTCGGATCGAACAGGGTCTGGTTCAGTGATCTCTCGGATGATCTCTGTCATATTTACGAGTGCTTTGAGTGGCATGCAGTGCATCTAATTGGTTACGAAATCTCTTGAGCAGAGATCTTGACGATAGCTGCTAGGAAAATGTGACCTAGTTGATAAGTGGTGCTCGCTTATCAGTATAAGGCAAACTCAAGGGAAATGGTCTTGAAGACTTCATGCTGAAAGTCAAACAAAGACTTGACTAAAATTTATAAAATTAAGAAACTTTTATAACCTTTGTAATTATTTTTTTTTTCCTGCTACATAAATACTGTTCATTAAATCTAACAATTAAGTAGTATTTATAGCTCCTTGAATTTTTTCAATCGAAAGCAACAAAGAGCTCACATCGGAAGAGCATAGCAAAGCCTATTCCATAATTCCATCTATGTCATTTGATTCGCACAAATGTGTGTACACAAATTGACTGCTTCCTGTTTATATGTTTTGTGTTACATGCTTACTTTTCTGTTGCTTTTGCTTTTTGGTTGCACTGTTTCGAACCCAGCTGTGGCCACTTGTGAACTTTAAGCTCCATTACAGTGCTCGTGGTGTGTGAGCTGAATTTCAATTGAATTGAATGAAATTGCGAATTAAATGCGTCCGACTGCAGCGGAGACAGGAACAACAACATAAACATGACATTCCGACTTTCCCATAACGGAGCCTGTACAATAAATCCCTATTTTATTGTTTAAGTCTGGCTTTAAATATTAATACAGCCTTTACGTGGCTTTTGCCTTACGTTTTCATAACAGAAATATAATAATAATAAAAGCAAAAAACGGCGCAAAATGTTTTTAATCAATTTCAATTGAATGATGACCCGCACAATCAACGTAAGACGGTCACTCATTCAAAGCTTATATCTCTCAGTTCTTTCTGCTCCCAGAGGGGAAAATATTTTTATTTGCGCTTGTAGCTTTTGCATAATTTATTCTTTTAATTTACGTTATCATCTGTACAGATCTTTATGGCTCAGTACCGAAATATTTTTAATTTTTATTTTCCCCTTGATACTTCCATCTTATTTCAGTTGTTAAAATTCCAATCGAGTCCCTAAAGTGTAATTTCATTCTCGAAATCTTGACTTTAACGGCAAAAAAAATTTTGTGTATTTTTAATGATATATCAACACGTTTCATTTGATTATTTTTATTTGCGACTTTACCTTTTTTTGGCTAATAATAAATGTAAATTTATATATACGATATAAGGCAAGCCCCTAAATTGGTCAGACTGATAGCATAAATGGAAGTAGCTATACGTATAAATTCGTTACACAGACGAACGCTTTGTTTGGTCGATGGGTCAAGCATACTGGCCTTCTAAATTGAATTCCATTCATGCTAACGCAAAAGGTAAACTGAATAATAAAGATAAAGAATAGTTGAATAAATCGAAACTGAATTTAATTTAGACCATGGCGAAGTCTTTTTTACTAAATGTTGCGTATTTTATTTTGTAGAGTATGTGCTTTCGCTGTTTAATTTGAAAATCAGTTTATACGGTTAAACTTAACCGCGTAGATAAATCCATTCATGGGGAAACATTGCGCGAGTTTATCTACAAATTGGAGAATTACTCATCTACTCGGCTGGACTGAGTAATTCCCAATCTGACCCACTGATGCTGCACATCTCCTCCGCGCCTCCCTCGCAACCCCAAAACACGATTTCGCGGACGGTCGAGGCAATGAACCGCACTTTTATCTGTTCCCCAGCACAACCCTCGCACAAAAAAGATACAAATGTATCCGTCCAGACGCACAGTCGAGTAAATATCCAACTGCAAACAACCAGCGAGCGCATTGAAAAAAAAAGCGAAAGCCAAAGTAAATGTAAGGAAAACAAAATTAAAAATGCATAGAAACGGTCGGAAAATCCACAGAAGCAGCGACAACGGGAAAAATGGGTAAAAAGTCGAGACGAATGTGTCAACAGCGATAAAGAATGTAGAATTAAACTGAAAATGAAACCGAAACTGAATAAATGAAAAGAGCGGACTTTGTATAAAAAGCCACGCAAATAATGTATCAAAGGCCCAGAACTAAATATTTATCGACTTAATGTAGATGATTCTCCGCATTTTCCCAAATCCAAAAGAACAATAAATATCGATATTTTTAAAGCTTCCGGAATCCATAGATCACCAGTTTGGAATGCTTTAGAACACAAATTTGTAGGGCCAACGCAAATCGACACCGAGCCAAGTGCAATTACTCACCAATGAGGACAACAGCTGCGTACAGCATTAGCCATTTGAGGCGTTCGTTGGGCATATTCATTCTGTATGCCGTGTTTCCGCTGAGCGGGTTGTGTGAAGTTGGCAGTAGAGGGTCTATCTGTTTATCGATTTTACACAAAAATCCACTGAAAAACACCCTTCGTTTTGGTTTCAGCACACGCGAATTATCTGAAAAACAAAGAGAGGCATTTATTAGTTTATAAGCTTACTAACAGTTTTACAACTTTAGGTGCAAAAGTTTTATATTTTAAAGAAACCCATTTCATTTATTAGTTATTTCAGTTTTTACTCTTTTAAATATATAATTCAGGATAGAAACTTTTTGCAAAATTTACGTTTAAATTCAATGAGATGCAAGTAATCTTATTAGGCAAAGCACCCTTTACTGTGAAACAGAATTAAAGACGAGGTTAGCCCTTTTAGCTGAAGCTCTACTAACAACTGCAGGTTAGCGTTTTTTAGGGGAAAAACACTGAAAAACATTATAAAACGCATACGAAATGCATAATAAATCCTATAAGTAATCCATATTCTTTTTTTGAAGCTATTACTAATTAATTCTCAATCATTCATCAATTTAAGGTCAAAATAAAAAAGAAATAAACGAATAACTGCAGTTGTTTACTAAAAATCACTTAGCAGTGAATAAAAATATTTTCAGATTCGATCCCATCGGAAAACTGTCTGTAAAGTGGTTTTCACTACGAGAAGCCCTATAAAAGCGATTAGCAAATGGAATAAAAAATAGAGTGAACCACACGAAGGAGGGAATAGTGACTGCGGATGAATGTCATTAATTAAACCACAAATGGCCAATTGGAGGAGGAGTAAGCAGCAGCTTCGAGAACTTCTGTTCGTTTTTCCGCCTTGTGCTATCCATAAAATGTCACGCGCCTCCCTTCCACGCCGCCACCCCAGTTTGGAGGCGAAAAAAACACACTTTATGACAGGCAGGAAGTCACGATTCCACATTTCTGTCTATTTGTCCCCCGATCCCCGCGGTGTCTGTAACTTGACATCGGCCCCCCCAAAATCCAACTCCTCCACATGCGACTTATTTTAATCCATGAAGCTAGCCTTTAATTGTTCAATACACACATGCCAGTATATAGAAATAGATTCAAAAGCAAATTGTTCAGCTTTTTGACGCTTAATTAACTCTTAAGTGGATTCCTTCATTGGCGCATACCACAAATTGTGGAAAAAGAAAAAAAACGTTCTTTATTCCGCTTTCAATTCAAGTTGGATCATTCAGCGAGATAGCTAAGTCTTATCTACGACTCTGTTTTATTTGCTCAGAGGGTTGCGCAGGCGTATGGAATAGAAACCCTCCCTGCTCGTGTTTGCTTCAGAAAGAATTGGATCGGTGGTTGGTGGAGGTTCTACACTCTGCCGATGTTAGCTTTTCAATTGGCCTAATGAACTAGCTGTTATTTGCAGCGGGGGTTAACTGACTCAGAGTTGAGCAGCTTTCAAACAGCTGCCTTAAAGGTTTTGGGGTGGCCAAATTGTTCTTGAAGGGTTTGTATTAACCGAAAAATTCTCCATAAGCAACTCACAAGGTATTTCCAAAACTTTAGATATCGGAATTAGAATCTAATAAAAATGCAAAAATAAATGCGTACAATATTTTGCTTTTACTTACTGAAACAAATAAACATGTAATTTCATCAAACAAAAACTAGAATTATTTTTCAGAAGTTTAGCAAAATAAACCATCAAATTGACACAACTTTTAATGGAAGTTTTTCAGGCAGATAAAATAAAAGAGTATATTTTTGTACATTTTCCTCACCAGTGGATCAAAAAGTTTCTTTGTTAAGAATGGTTTTTAAACTTCGTCGTTGGATTTTTGCTTTGCAAAAATAAATACATAAATTAAATAGTAAAACCTTCAACTGTCATAAAATTCTGTAATTTAGTAAATGAAATTTACGAGTAATGAATCATAAACACATCTCTCCTTGAGTTTTCAGCTTAAGAATTGCTTGTTTTACTCATCTCGACGAACGATTCTGCGATTCTCGACTGAAACAATTTAGAAAACATCTGGTAATCAGTCAACGGTTCCAGGCGTCCATATAGGCAGCCGTATAACATATGTACGGATACATTAATGTATATACAATGTATCTACATATAGCCAGGCAAACCCTCCCTGAGCAGATCCGTTCGGTCAATCGCGTGGTAAAATCAACGAATCAAAAGCATTTTTTATATTACTCATGCTTGCATTTTGTATTCTTTTTGTTGGTTCGTCTGGCTGGATGTGTAACTAAAAATTGGGGTGACGAGCCAATAAATTTAGGATAGGCTGGTGCAGTCAAGGGGGGTAGGCGGTGGAGGTTCGGCTGGGGGACAGAGGGCAGTGGCCCAGTGCAGGGTCGTCGTCGGTGGCAGAGGACCCATCCATTGTCCAGAACCGCTGCTATGACCCATTCGCGCTCTGAGTTTTCCGCACAGCGCCCCTAATTGAGATTCAAGTGCTCTCGGCGGCAGCAAAAACAAAAGGAAATATTTATTCGGTCCTCCATTCGTTTGTCAGCCTTTGTTCACTTTAACCTTTTCCGCTGTGTCATGTTTGTGCCCAAGTGGAAATCAATATTTGCCATCAGAACCGAGTCGATGAGAGGGTGTTCATCAAATCGATGAGAGCGACCAAAGGAAATTTGCTTAACTGAGAGTATGAAGTAAATAAATTGGCTTAATGGTGGGAATAATCCAATTCCAATATCTTTACTTGCATTTCAAGAATAAATTTATTAGTTTCATTTTAATTTTTTTAAGCCTCTAAAAACATTTTTATTGCCTGGGAAACAGGGAGTCACATGGAAAATTGGCAACTAGCCCAACTAGTGCAGAATCTCCGCCTAGCAACAGGATGACAGGCCGACGAAAAATCCAGAAAAAGAGGCAGGAAAATAAAAAGAATCTCGCAGGCAGGCGGAAATGAGAAGCGGGCGGCGCAACACTTGCAAAATCAAATAGTGGAAACTTCAGACACACCAGCGGCCAAAGGACGAAGGCAGCTGCATGGGATTTCAGAGATTTTACAAGCAGGGGTTGAAACAGCACTCGCATCGGGACGACACATACATATGCGGACAAAGGATCACGGCGTATGTGTGCCACATGGAAACTGCGAGGGATTTTAAAAGGTTCTTGAGAATGAAGAGTTTTGAGTAGGGAAAACTACCTGACGGGGACAAAGGACCAAGGACCAGGCAGCAGCAGGCGGCACAGGTTGCACACACAAACGAACACAACGGTTAACGCAGAGTTGCTTTTCTGCGGTGCCAAGGGCGCATGCGCCGAAAAAAAATTCGCTGAAAAATTCTGGGACTGAAATGAATTTCTCTAAAAGTCAATTTATAAATGAAAAGGCCAGCGAAATGCCTGGAAACTGGCTAAATATTAAACTAGATATTCCGAAATATAGAATCGCACTGTGTAAAATGGGAGTTTTCCTCCCTGATTGCCAAACATTTTCACACCCTTCTGCATGTGTGTGTGATACACAGTGCAGAAAGTAATCGTTTTTGCATTCGCTGATGCGGGAAACCCCGTAATTTGGCGAAAAATCAATAGGAAGGTGTAATTAAATGTTTGAATTTGGGTAATAAACCTTATAGATATCATCCTACAGCATCCTGCAATAGTTTGCCAGACTACCGTTACTCGGTGGGCGTGGGCAGGACTCACGCACACACCCGCAACCCAACCTATACATACACGGCTGGCACAAAGAAGTTGCCAGACAACGGCGAAAATTTCCCAACGAAATCGCCGACTTTTCTTACCGTTAACGCTCGTTCTGATGGTTAAATTGTTGGTTAAATGCGATTATTAATTGTTGAGGAACACACACAACACACACGCAGTGAGAGTGGTGGGCTATTTGCAGCAGGGTGCCACTAATCCACGGGGGTGGCGACTCCGCACAAAAGCACCGCACGCACAAACACAGTCACTTTGCTCTGCTCTTGGCTATCTTTCAGATACTTTGCATACTATTATTCACTTTTATTCTTCCTTTATCGGTCGGAGGTGCACAACCACCACGGGCGAGGGGGGTGTTGCTAATCGCGTACCGTTCCGCTGCCGTACATCCGTATCCGTATCGGTGTCCCAAAACAACGCTCACACAAACACACGCACGCTCTCGCGATTCGCCGACTAAAAGCTGAATCCGGTTCTCGATCGCTCAACGGTCCAAACAAGACTGACTATCTGGCGGATGCTCAGATACAAATACTCGCCCTCGGTTTCAGATACTCTGCTCCGGCAGCCGGCCAGTTTGTCACTCTCTCGCCAGCTCTCTCTCTCTCCGAAGGGGCAATTGTTTGGGAAATTTCACGGGACATTTCGCACCTGTTGCTTTTGGGTGAGAAATTGTGGGAAGTGTTTGTTTGGATTTTAAGGTTCACAAGTGGAGTGTATACGGAATATTTATAAATTATTACATTTAAAATAGTACATCTTACTAATTGTTTGAGAAATGTTAGTCGACACCCGAGAAACAGGAACTTAAGAAAATATTAAGAGGCAAATTAATTAATCTTGCCCCTGAAACCGTGTAATTTTTATAAAAACAAATAATAACAAAAACTATATCTCGGATAAAAAATTTAAAAACAACTAACTTTTTATTTAAACCTGTTTTTGAGTATTGAATATGTGCATATGAATGTCTCGAATAATCTATTATTAATTTTGTTCTTGCTTTACTGTGTTTAAGATAAATGTTAAATTAAAACCGATTCTTCCCACTTTACCCAGCTTAATAATAAACACTTTAAATAGGGATTAATTATGTTCATATATATTTATTCGCTTATCCAACAATATACACACCAAAGCAATGCCGAGCGTTTTTAGTGGAATATTTTTGCTTTCAAATATTTAGCATGCTTTTATTATTTTTTAGAATGCGCTTGTATATGTCATCGAAATATTATGCAATCTCTAGTAATTACAATAATCTGAATCGCCAAACACAAAAATCGTCATACACAACCAAAAAGTTTACCATTTAAATGTAAGTGCAACATGAGTATTAGATCTTAGCACGAGTATTGTTAATATATTTAAGTTTTACAGGGTAAATACATTTGTGGAAGAGTTTATAAAAGTTAACACTAATCAAGTAATCAAGTACGAGTATTTCGGGTAGTAACAAATGTCAATTAAAATACGAGGGAAGACACAATAGTGTTTACAACTAACCTAAAACTAACAAAATCAATTAAATTAGGTGGTAAACTAACACAATATAGTTATGTACAAGTTAAACGGTGAAGAAATTCAACACTTTGAGCGAGTTGTATGTATGGTTTGTTTTTTGCGAGTATCTTAAGTAGCAGGTCAAGTCTTTACAGTTGAATCTCATGAGGATAGTTACATTCGTATGCTAGGTTTATGTGTAAAGGTTTGTAAAATAAATGCTCTCCAGCTAAAGAGTCAGAATGAGAACCGTGTCGAGTCTATTTGTGTCATGACTGTGGACGAAACTTGTTCAGTACTTGTGGCCGGGCTATGAGTTTTCTTGCCACGCAATTAATATGCTATCATCGAACTCTAACCATTGAAGTAACGCAGGCGACATCTAAGAAAATTATGTTTTATAAAATACTTTTTATCTTTAAAAATATAATTTCATTCTGCAATATTCGAACTTGTAATGAACTAGATATTTTTAGAGAAGTAAAATATGTCGCCTTTGTTATTTTGGTGGCTAGTTTTCGATACATGGCCTATGGCTATTTGGCTTAACCTGATAAAATCGCCCTGGAAATGATTAAATTCGTATTTAATTACGACGACTGGCGTCCTGGATAATTATCTTGTTCTTCTGGCGCGTCACCTTCGTGGCCGTTGGCGCTGGCATTAGTCGCTTCAGCTGCTCCGGCCTAAAGCTGACTAGAGCCTTATCCTTGACTTTTCCCACAGCTCCCGTAGTAGTCGAAGTTGTGGTGGTGGTCGTCGCCGTGGCCGTAGTGGTTGACTCAATCAGGGCCGTGGACTCTTCAGCCGTGGAGCCCGAGGAACCGCCTGCAGCAGCCGACGCATACCGGGTGAGGACATGGAACTTGGCGAAGATGTTGCGTCCACTGCGCTGCTCCTTATCCTTGTACTTGTCCAGCGCCGAGCCAGTGGGCAGCGGTTTAGACGCCTTGACCAGCGCCTTGCCGGGATTACTGCCGGTCGCCTTGTAGAAATCATCGTAGTCGAAATCGCTGTTCGCCTGCGCTGGCGAGGATGCAGTAGTGGCCGGGGCCAGGGCTCGTTCTCCGTAGCTGGCCGAGCTAGCCGACGTTTCCTCGGCCATGTGACGCAGCATCAGGGTGAGCTTCATCTCGTGCTGCCGCTGCAACAGCACGGCATTTCGTTCGCCTTCAAGTCTGGCCTGACGCACGGCATTCGAGAGAACGCGCTCCTTCCACTCCCAGGCATCTCGCTCTCGCTCCAACTGCACCAGCTGCAGCTCCAACTTTCGCGAGGAGTCACGCAGATCGATCACCTTGGTGAAGTACTTGTACAACAGCGTGCGCATCTCCTCTGTGGACAGACGATTCAAGCGGGCCATTAGCATCTGCTCGCCCTTCTCGCGCTCAATTCGATCGCTGGTGTCGATGGAGCGGTGGCCCGTGATCATCTCGTTCTTGAATTCTATGGCCGCGTCTATGGCCTCGATGGCCTCGTCGCACTCGAGCAACTTGCGTTCTTCCTTTTGGGTTAAAACTTTGTCCCGCTTGAGCTTGCGATCCAGATGACAGCGCTCCTCCAGCAGCAAATCGCGAGTGCCGCGCAGGTTGCGAATCTCGTGACGCAAGCTCTCCTGCTGCTCTGCTCCGGGCTGCTCCTCCAGGTTGTCCGACTTCTCGCGGAGTATGTGATTGAGGTGTGTGATCCTGGCCTGCACCGCCTTCAACTGGCGGCCATGCTGCTCTGGGGAATCTGGGGTCTTCACTAGCTCTTTGCCCGCAGGCGTGTCCCTAGATTCCCTTAGCTTGGCCAACTCTGCTTCCATTTGATCCCGCAACTTGCCTTCCTTGCGCAATTTTTTCTCCAGATCTTCGACCTGCTTTCGCGACTCGGCCACCGATTGCTGCAGCTTCTTCACCTTCTGACCACTCTCACCGGCAATGTGCTTCATGGAGCTCAGATCCTCAAGCCTCCGCTCGAGATGCGCTATTATGGTGGTCCAGCGCTCGATTTCCGGCTTTTCGCGGCCCTGCACTAGAGCCTTGCCCAGCTGCTTCTTGGCCTTGTCGCACTCGGCCTCCAGCTTGGCCCGCTTCTTGTGAAACCGCTGCTTGGCGTGGCTACGCGTGTCGCTGTTCTTGATCAGTTCGCCGATGATGTTTTGCTTCACCTTAATCGTTTGTTCGATTTCCCGCAACTGCCGCTGTTTGCCTTCGATCTCGGCCACCAGTTTGCGCAGCTTCTTCTGCAGCTGCTCGATGGGAGCAATGGCTGCGGCGGCGGCGAGGGCGGCCTGGCGGAGTCCCTCGCCCGAGGAACTTTCCAGGGGATCGACAACCGCATCGGGATCGATGGGCGGCGGTGGCTGCTGGGAGGCTACGCGATTGAGCATGGCCAGCTCTGCAGTGCTCAAGCTGGCGCCCGGCTGAATGCTTCTCCTGCGACCTGTAAAGCCAGGAAATCTAAATGTTTCCTTATTCAAATGGACTGTTTATTTACCTCCGATGCTGGTTTTGCGATCCTCGCCATTTTCTGCTGCCGGCGGCGGCGGTTGTGGTTCGTTTTCGCGTTCCTGGCTCTGCATAACCGCCTTGGGGTGTTTGGTCAGGTAATCGGCGTGCTTTTCCAGTATAAGCTCGTCCGTCTTGTCCCGAAACTCGTCCATTAGGCCATCGATCTTGTCGTCCAGATCGGGACGCTGCGACTCATTGTCCGTGTCGTTTTCGTTGTCCGAGTTTGGCGGCTCGGAGTTGGCTGGCTCGGAATTGGCCGCTTCTGAATTGATCTCCTCCGGATCCTCCGGCTCTTCGGCCTCCTCGATGGGAACCAGCTGCTTCTGCTGCTGGCGCATAGCCTCCGTTGAGCTGAGGCAGTCCTCGCACTCCTGCTTCAGGTAGAGCCACTCCTCGATCTGCTCCTTCTCCAGTTCACTGATCAGCTTCGAGTCCATTAGCCTGTAAGTAAATTAGTTTTAAAGAGATTCACATAAGGAATAGTTTATCCCCTTACTTGGCAAACAAACCCTCGGCATTGGTGACCAACTTGGACCACCGACTGGCTGCGAACTGCAGGCCAAAGTTGTCGCCCAGCCCCGCCTGCGCCAAAGGTCCAGCTGCGGGATTGGAATTCGGCAGAGCCTCTTGCGGCCGGACGATCATCGTGTTGTCATCGGAGTAGGTGTTCATGATGACGAAATTGCGCACGCACTGAACCTTAAAGGCGAACTGCAGGTTGCCCAGGGTCTCGGCCAGATGTTCCTCCAGCGGCGAAACGCACAGGATGACGAGCGTCTGAGCCCGGCCACCGAACGAGTCCTTTAGCAGCGTGGTTAGAGTGGTCTGGCCATACGGAATGTTGCCATTGACCCCGTACATGAGGCCGGGATCGGTGAGAGTGCTGATCACCTGCTCCAGCATATGCAGGCCGGCATCGCGTGGTCGTCCGGGTGGCGGCTCGCCAAAGCGTTCCGTGCCGCACAGATCGGAGAAACTGGCGGTGGACAGGCGATGCTGCAGCAGCCCCTCCTTGGACACCCATTGCTGCTCCAGCGTGAGCGTGAATAGCGTATGGGCGGGCAGGGATTGACGCGCCGAGAGACCCGCCTGCAGCCAGCGGAAGACGGCCTCCACGTTGTTGCAATGTATGTTGCCCATGCCCAACAGATCGCACACTTCGCCGCCGCAAATCTCCACGAATCCCACGTTTATGGCATAGGTGCGTTCTGTAAAAGGAAAGGATGAGTATAAATGCCAACTAGACTTCTGGGAAAAACTCACCTGGGTGCGAGGAAATGTGCGAAAAGATGTCTCGCACGCAGAGGTGGACGACTCCCTCGGTGGACTGCTTTTGACCATTCTCTAGGACATTTCCGTACAGAGTATAGCTCTTGCCCTGGCCCCGCTGCCCGTAGGTGACCACGGATGCATCGAAGCCCTCGAGGAACAGGGTGATGAGCGGAAAGACCGTCTGGTGGTACACCTGCTCCTGGGAGCTGCTGCTTGGAAGGGCGTGGGTGACGGGCACGGTGTGGGGACCGACTTGGATGAGTCCCGCCGCAATGCTGTCCATGGGATCGCCTCCAGGCAGGGCACTGGGCAGTCCCAAAGCGGAGGCGCTGATGGGGATGGCCTGGACGCAATATTCCGACTCAGAATCCTTGGGATTACTATCATTGCCATTGGCGTCCGCAGGTGGCTTTGGCTCCTCCTCGTCATTCCCATTGCGATCCTTCGGATCCCTTGGCTCCGGGGCATCCTTTTCCGGCACCGCCTCCGCAACTTCATCCGCAGTGTCCTTGGAGTCCGCCCCCTCATCCTCCGCCTCCGCCACCGCATCCTTTTTGATTCCCTCTGCGGGGGCTGCGAAGCTCTCCTTCAGTTGCTTGAGCTCCCTGTGCGGGTAAATGCGCACGGCCACCTGAATGGGTATTTCCATGGTTGTTGCTTGTGTCCTGGTCGCGGCGCAGCTCTTTCATTCGGCCTCCTGCGCTTTGATGCGCATTTTTGGGCCCCAAAACACTTGCAAAAAACTTAGCGCAACTCCGAATCGATACAGTGATAGTGTGACCGCAGCCATAGCGCCAGAATATACCGAAAATACCAAAGTTAGGTACTGATAAATATATTTAAACAAAGTACGTTATATTTTAAAAGAACTACTTTTCATGGATAAGAAATAGGTTAATATTAATTATGCATGAATATTACGATTAATTAAGCAAACTGTGACACCGAAATTTACTTCTAGGGGCTAATTTGGTTTGAAAAGATGTCTATGACACCCCTGATTGTCACAGAACATACTCCCCCTTCAAGCAGACGAACTAACTAATATTTCTTGATAGCTACAACAATTAATAAACTGTTTTAAACTCAAGAAATTCATTAGTAACTTTGAATGCTTTAAAAATGGCGCCCTTTTGCATTCTGTTATCGATACAATTTGTAGCATAGGGGTTGAGTCTTCACTAATCTGGTATTTTTACCCTGTCTTTAAAAAGTATAGATTGGTATATTTGCTCGGCACGTTAGGTATTCGTTTAAGGTCACACTGAGCGCGTGTTTTTTTTGCGCAAAACGCTTCGTTTCGAGAATTAATTCTAGCTAAGCAGCCCAAATCAGCATGTCCAAGCGTCGAATCGAAGTGGGGGAGACCTACGGCAGCAAGGCGAAGAAGTGAGTGCATCAAACTATCCAATGGGCCATAGTTTAATCCAGATTTTCCCCCAGGGACTCGGAGGCGTCCTCCTCCTCGTCGGCGGCGGCAGCGGCGGCCGGCACTGTGGCCCAAATCCTGGGCGGATTCGTGCCGAACAAGCAGCCGCCCACGATGAACCCGCTGACCAACAAGCCGTACTCGCAGCGCTACCAGAATCTCTACAAGAAGCGCATCGCGCTGCCCGTGTTCGAGTACCAGGCGGACTTCATGCGGCTGCTCAGCCAGCACCAGTGCATCGTGCTGGTGGGCGAGACGGGTTCGGGCAAGACTACGCAGATTCCGCAGTGGTGCGTCGACTTCGCGGTGTCCAAGGGACGCAAGGGCGTCTCCTGCACCCAGCCACGTCGAGTGGCCGCCATGTCCGTGGCCCAGCGCGTCTCCGAGGAGATGGACGTGAACCTGGGCGAGGAGGTCGGCTACTCCATCCGTTTCGAGGACTGCTCCTCGGCCAAGACGCTGCTGAAGTATATGACCGACGGTATGCTGCTGCGCGAGGCCATGTCCGATCCCATGCTGGAGCAGTACCAGGTCATCCTGCTCGACGAGGCCCACGAGCGCACGCTGGCCACCGACATACTGATGGGCGTGCTCAAGGAGGTCATCCGGCAGCGCAACGACCTCAAGCTGGTGGTCATGTCGGCCACATTGGACGCCGGCAAGTTCCAGCAGTACTTCGACAACGCTCCGCTCATGAACGTTCCGGGTCGCACGCATCCCGTGGAGATCTTCTACACGCCGGAGCCCGAGAGGGACTACCTGGAGGCCGCCATTCGCACGGTCATCCAGATTCACATGTGCGAGGAAATTGAGGGTAATTAATTATTATGATTTGCCCTTAATCATTATATTAAGTTAATAGCTATAAGTTACTAAGGAGTTACCTCTATCTACTCATCCAAATAATTTCAATTAGAGCTCTGCATGAATGGATTTAATGAATTATTTTGAATTTTTTATATTTTATATGAATGAATTAATTAGAATTTTGACCACAATTTCTTTTGAAGAAGAAAGGGCCATAATTCTGTGATTAAATCTGCATGAATTTTATTTTCTAAGCAGTTAACATTGATTTGTTAAACATTTTCCACTTTTCGTTCTCAAAAGAAAGCACAAAAAAATCTGGCAAATTCAAAAAAAATCATAAAAATTATTCATTTATTTATTCAATTCGAAATTAACTAGAAAAACATTCAATTTATTTCACATAGAATTAAATTCAAGAAATCAGAAATTTCATGGCATACAACAAAAATTTAATGATTCACGCAGGGCTCTAACTTCAATTCAAATTAAATTTAAGAGAAGTGCTGAGAAATGTGTAAATCCATCTCCCAGAATTTGTTTACGATATGTAAAACTGCAAGCTAAGTGATCTGCTTTCAAATCGTAATCGAATATGGTTGAAGTTATTATTGCAGAATTCATTCTCATTCTATTCTCCCCTTCTAGGTGACATTCTTATGTTCCTCACGGGCCAAGAGGAAATCGAGGAGGCCTGCAAGCGTATCAAGCGCGAGATCGACAATCTTGGCTCGGAGATCGGCGAGCTGAAGTGCATTCCCCTTTACTCCACGCTGCCTCCGAATTTGCAGCAGCGCATTTTCGAGGCTGCACCGCCGCCAAATGCCAATGGCGCCATTGGACGCAAGGTGGTGGTGTCCACCAACATCGCCGAGACCTCGCTCACCATTGACGGCGTGGTGTTCGTGATCGATCCGGGCTTCGCCAAGCAGAAGGTGTACAATCCTCGCATCCGAGTGGAGAGTCTGCTTGTGTCGCCCATCTCGAAGGCTTCAGCCCAGCAGCGAGCCGGTCGTGCCGGTCGTACGCGTCCAGGAAAGTGTTTCCGCCTGTACACGGAGAAGGCTTTTAAGAACGAGATGCAGGACAACACCTATCCCGAGATCCTGCGCTCCAACTTGGGTAATGTTTACCAATACTAGATCTTTTCACCTCATCCTAATATTGATTTGTTTTCTATATACAGGCACTGTGGTCCTTCAGCTCAAGAAACTAGGCATCGATGATCTGGTGCACTTTGACTTTATGGATCCCCCTGCTCCAGAGACTTTAATGCGTGCCCTGGAGCTGCTCAACTATCTGGCCGCCCTGGATGACGACGGCAATCTGACTGACCTGGGCGCCGTCATGTCCGAGTTCCCCTTGGATCCGCAGCTGGCGAAGATGCTGATCGCCAGCTGCCAGCACAACTGCTCCAACGAGATACTTTCCATAACGGCCATGTTGTCGGGTGAGATAAATCAAAAAACTGTCTTGGCTTAAATTAAGGAGTACAGATTAGGTTTTGCACAAATGGGCGGGCTTTTAGGTTTCACGGCTGCCACTTTTGATAGCAAAGAATCTTTAAAATCTCTATTAAATTCTCTTGAATTATAACTTAATTTATAGTATGTCTTTCCAAGTGGCCACCGTGATCTTGTTTGCTTTTCAAATTGAAAATCTCTGTAAGGTTTCGGGTTACATTTATTCCTAATCGGACAACCCAGACTCAACTAGGACAGAATTTAATTAATTTCTTAAGCAACAATGCAAAGGAAAAAGTTTTTTCAATTTATTTGTTCTTTGCATTCAACTCGAAAAGAAAAGTTGCACATGCGTTGAAAAGCTCAAGCCTCTGGCCCATTATTCAAATGGAATGATGAGCGGCATTTACGTCTCGAAGATTGTGTTTTTTCCTTTTTTAAATAATACCCAAACGCACTTGCAACTCACAAATGCAATCAATCTTTGAATCAAGCCTCTAGATTGCCTAGCTGACCAAAAGTAAGCACAATCTATTTGTTTATGTAAAAAATTGTTTTGAACTTGCGCTTAATCGAAACCCAACCAATTCAAACGTGCCAAAGTGCCGCAATGCTTTGTGCGTCCCAACGAGGCCAAGAAAGCAGCCGACGAGGCCAAGATGCGATTCGCCCACATTGACGGGGACCACCTGACCTTGCTGAATGTCTATCACGCCTTCAAGCAGAGTAAGTAAACCAGATACAACATTTTTCTAAGCACAAACTTATCCGATTTTCAATGACCATTTCAGGCAGTGAGGATCCCAACTGGTGCTACGAGAACTTCATCAACTTCCGCTCGCTAAAGAGCGCGGACAATGTGCGCCAGCAGCTGGCCAGGATTATGGACCGCTTCAACTTGCGTCGCACGAGCACCGAGTTCACCTCGAAGGACTACTATGTGAACATACGCAAGGCCCTCGTGCAGGGCTTCTTCATGCAGGTGGCCCATCTGGAGCGCACCGGACACTATCTAACCATCAAGGACAACCAGAACGTGCAGCTGCATCCGTCAACATGTCTGGACCACAAGCCCGACTGGGTAATCTACAATGAGTTTGTGCTGACCACAAAGAACTACATCCGCACAGTGACGGATGTGAAGCGTAAGTAGTGCTACCTTAAATTTAGATTATAACCACATTTTAATAATTGTTTCCCTTTTAGCTGAATGGTTGTTCACATTGGCGCCTCAATATTACGACCTGAACAACTTCCCGCAGTGCGAGGCGAAACGACAGCTGGAGTTGCTGCAGCAGCGAATGGAGACCAAGCAGTACCAGAAGGGTTTCTAAATCCCCCATTTCTGGCTAGGTGTAATATTGGGAGGGGATCATGGATATGGATGTGGGAATTTTAAAAGGTTCAGAGATAAACCGTTTCGCTTTTTATTGTTTGCTAAATTAAAACCTAAGCACATAGACACCTTTAACAGATCATTAATATCCAAGAACTCCGTTTAGTGAATAGTGTTAATAAAAGAAGCCACTTTTTGTATATCTAATAGCTGCCTCCTAGCCGTTGGTCCTTTGGAACTGAATAAGTATCACGAGATAGGTGGCTATGGCGGACGCGAACTGAAAGAAAGTAAAAGAATCATAATGAATAGATTTTATTGTATTATTTTATAGATGTCGGGTTCATTACCGATGTTAGGATCGTGCGATTCACGCGACACAGTCCGCAGGCGGAGAAGTCGGCATCGACCACGAGTAACTGCTGCCAGAACTTCTTCACCGCTTCCGCGAGAATGGGCTCGTGCACCTTCCGCTCGATCTCACAGACAATCTGAATGGTTTTGCGCGATTCTCTGGCAGCCAGGTGACAGGGCTCCACCACCATGAGCAGTCGCAGGAAATGAAAGCATATCCAAAGCATCTGCACCCACAGATAGCCGTTGTCCCGCTTGCTGAGCAGTTCCAAGAAGAGGAAGTAGGCGGTAGCCACCAGATGCAGCAGACAAGAGACCAGGATGAAGAGCACCGCAACGCCAAAGGAGCTATTAAAAGATGGAGAGATTAAGAAGCAAACTTGCATGGGAAGTAGTAAAACTATATACTTGGACAAAAGGTGGACACACTTGCCCAGCGACTCGTGACTGTCGGCCAAGGACTTGAGGAGCAGACCCTTGTTCTTGGCTGGAAAATAACCCAATTTGAGTAACTCCACGTTGAGGACCAGACTGCGGGCCTTGTCACCTGGAGAATCACTGGGCAGAGTTTCGCTGTTCAGCTTCGTCAGACTGGCGTGCAACGCCGATGGCATCGAGGGACGATTCATGCTGATGTTCTTCACAGTGCTGACTTTTTGGGGCTTAATGGCACTGGAGGCGTTGTTTTCTGTGTGCGGAAAGGTTCACAACTAATTTAAGGACCCTGGTGGATATAAGGAGTACCTACCGCCCAGAAAACTGCTGGAAAGCATCCTGTTTAGGCGTCTAAAACGCCTGCCCAATCCGTAAGCGGTGTTTGCAAAGTTCACTTGCAAGCCCGTGAGGACGAAGTAGAGACTGTAAAACGGGATATACCAATGCACATTGAGCTCTGTAAGATAAAGGAAAAGAAAAGAAGGGGAAATGTTGGATTTCATTTAATTAATGACAATGAGGAATACGTTTTTTGTTTATATATACAAAAAAATAAGGGCTGAAGATGGCTAATTTTTTTCCATAATTAAATTTTTTAGGAACTAGGAATTGAGCATTTTTTACAAAAACGAGATTTTTATGAGTTTTTTCGTCGTAATTATGTTAAAATAAGTGCTTCAGTTAAAAGGATGCTTTACTAATAAAGCAACGTAATCATCTCTTTGAAAAACATGTCAAAAAATTCTTTGTGCAAATTTTTACATTTTTCATAGGGGATTGCACGTCTTTTTTTTTTTAATTTTCCAAAGTTGAAGTTTAAAGATTTTAACGCCAATCGACTGGAAAATTTATTATCAACTCAACGCGATATAAATTTCGATGTTTTGGCAATTTGTTGATTTGTTTTAGACAAAATACAAATATTAATTTTTACCCAAATTTTTTCTATGGCCTAACAAATTTTAGGGTTTTTTCTTGGTACCCACCCGTATCCGACTGCGCTATGTTCATATCCTGGGCAATGCGCATCCAGGTTCCCACATCCAGACCGACTAGAAGGGCTATAGCCACCAAGGAGACCGCAGCCATGGCCAAAGCTCTCCACCGATCCCTCCGGAAGTTGTTGTAGGCATTTAAGGTGTTGTCGATCTAAAAGGGGTTTCACACAGTTTATAGAAATTCAAGGGACGGGGACCTTTGGCGACTGTGACCTCACCTTGTTGAGGCGAGCGTTCAGCTCGAGAGTGTCGTTCAGGCTAAAAAGGCCACAGTAAACACCCGATACGATGGCCATGACCACTACCGAAACGTCCAGTGCCGTCACCACCTTCGAAGTTGCCGACTTCATTCTAAAAGATGCACTTTTGATTTGTTGGTTGGTTTTGTTTGCAGTTTGTCAGAGCAATTAATTGATCAAGATCGAAATGTGTTTAGAAGGGACCAAAGGTGATGATTAGATAGAGAAAAATTGAGAAAGGGAAATACATAGAAGTGATCAGAATAGTGGCACTTCCGTTATAAGTTATTTTACAAATAAAGTTTTTTTTTATATATTGATGGATTTCGTTGTAAGTGCCATTATTTTGAAACCCGAGGATAGGACGAACACTAAGGGCCGGTTTCTCGAGTCCCTGTCAAAGTCCCTGATAGCTATCTGTTCGAAAAACTTAAATACCAGATAAACTGTTCGTAAAAGCAAATCCGCTTTCTCGACTGCTTTAATTTATCTGAACGAGAAACAATTACAGAGTGCTGTTAACGCACAGAATTGTGCTGTGAAGCGCAAAAAATGGCATGCTTCGATTATTTCATCAGCTGTTTGTGTATAATTTAAAGGAAAAGTCAGCTGTGATTTCGTTTCTTCTTCATAGTTGGCTTTGGGAAATCAGCTGTCATTCTATCGAGTCGAAAACGCTTAACAGGGACTCCGAGTCCCTGTCAAAGCTAGCTCTCACATTTATGCTCGAGAAAGCCAAAATGCCTTAGCAGGGACTTTATCTGTTCGAGAAATGTTAGCCGGCACTCGAGAAACCGGCCCTAAACAGATTAGAAAAAAACGACACAGGACTGGGGACTTTATAAGTAGAAAACATAAGTACTTACCGCACGGGTATTTCGGAATTAGCATCGAACAAGAGACCTCGGTAGGTTAAGAAAACTAAACATATTTGGACAGCTATCAGTCGAAAGGTTTCCCCTTATCAATAAGACCCCCACTCACCCATCACCACTGTCAATGTGGCCGAGTAGACCGTGAAAAACCAACTTCGACCGATTTCCACCTGGCCCTTGGGATTCCGCAGCGTGGCATATGGAGCCAAAGCCAACACTTTGCTGATGTAGAAGATGCCGATGCTGGGCTGGGATATCTCCATGGTGCTTCCAAACGCGGGACACTCGCAGCAGGACCTCCGGACGAGAACTGTTCTCGAGTGGCCAAATACACGACCTTAAATTGCAAAACGCCATATTCGACACCGAACAAATAATGCGCTCCCATATTTGACTATTATTAGTGGCCAGCCACCACCCCCGTGTTCGCAGGACATTCGCAGACCGTCTGGGCAAACACCCCATGTGCGAGTGAGTAACACATTTGCTTATCAAAAAGCTCGGCTGTCCGCGATGTAAATAATAATTAGCGTGTGAAAATACCAAGCCGGCAAGGACACGGGAGCCAATTATTTTTGGGGCCCGAGCTGACAGCTGCAGCAGCAGGTGAATGAATGAGGTCCACAGCCCAATTGTTCGACAATTTCTCATTTATTTTATCATGGCTTCACTGGGCAGCTCAGATGTGGCGCAGGCAATTAAGGAACAAACTAAAAGCTATCTGCCAGCCAGACTAGACGGAGTGGGCATTGAAGATCTCGATCCAGTAGCCGTCGGGGTCCTTGATGAAGGCCAGTCCCTTCATGCGGCCATCGTCGGGCTTCTTCACGAAGTCAACGCCGAGGTCCTGGAAGCTGTGGTGGGTGGGGGAACGTATGATTAGAGGGAAGAAACTTTTCAGCACCCATCACTTACCGCTGGCAGGCGGCGTAAACGTCGGGTACCATCAGTCCGATGTGTCCGAAGCCACGGGGATCGGTGTTGCCGGTGTGGTAGCTCTGATCCGGGTCGCTCTCAGTACCCCAGTTGCTATGGTAAGACAAAGAAGTTAGTAAAGATAATAATCGGTTAACGATATCACACCTATTAGTTCTAAAACGATGATTACTTTAGATAATATTAATAATGCTTTGGAACTTTTTTTAAAACAATTTTCTAATAAAAATTAGAAAGCTTTAGAAAAAAAGGGAAGGCAAATACGCTTTGAAAAAAATAAATTTTGGACTTTTAATTGGTGGCCAATAAAACTACTACTATATCGATCCAACTTCTGACACCTTAAAAATTCTCTTACTTAGGGCCGGTTTCTCGAGTGCCGGCTAACATTTCTCGAACAGATAAAGTCCCGCAAGGCATTTTCTTTCTCGAGCACCAATGTGAGAGCTAACTTTGACAGGGACTGAGCCCTGTTAAGCGTTTTCGGCTCGATAGAATGACAGCTGATTTCCCAAAGCCAACCAAGAAATCACAGCTGACTTTTCCCTTGAAATAAACCCAAACAGCTGATGAAATAATCGAAGCACGCCATTTTTTGCCCTTCACAGCATAATTCTGTGCGTTAACAGCACTCTGTAATTGTTTCTCGTTCAGATAAATTAAAGCAGTCGAGAAAGCCGATTTGCTTTTACGAACAGTTTATCTGGTATTTAAGTTTTTCAATCAGATAGCTATCAGGGACTTTGACAAGGACTCGAGAAACCGGCCCTTAGCCCTAAGTAATAATATTGATTTTATCATTCATATACTGCCAATAAGATTAGTTCGACTCATAGATCCTTTGAGATAGGAGTCTTTGGATTTACGTTTTACTTATGGAAGTTCGACTTAATTTGCACGTAAATCTTGTGTTTTTATACGGTTCACGAAATATTTTTTAAGAGGATTAACTGGTAGTCTAATTTAATAATATTTGGCAACCTAAAGTTAGATCCATTATTCCTCAGATATTTAAACCCGAAATGGTTCTACATTTATACCTATATACTTAGTATACCACTTACTGGGTCAGCTCAATGGTGGCCTTGCGGCTCATCGCCCAGCTGCGGCGCTCCTTGGGATCCTTGGGCACATCGGCCTGGTTCTCGTAGCTGCGGCAGATAAGAAGGCAATTGGTCATTATATCGCTGTCGAATCGCACGTATTAAGATAAGCCGCCGCAATTGACCTTACCCCAGGAAGTACAGCGAGAACTTGGCCTCGGGGAAGTCCAGTTTCACCAGCAAGGTCATGCCGAGGACGCCCGTGTAGAAGGGCAGCGACCGGCGCGGGTCCTTAATGCGGTACATGGTTTGCTGGAAGAGGAAGTCCTGCATGGAAAGCGTGCTGTTGTTAGTGGCACTCTGTGAAGTGGCGGTGATTCCATGGGGATTGACTCACCTTGGTGGACGCCTCCGGCTTCTGGCACAGCTCGTCGGCCTCCGCATTGCTAAGTCCTGTAACGTCGCCCATTTCGAGGTTTTTGGCCAATTAATCAACACCTGTTGATAAAAAAAATCCGCGAGGAACTTATCAGTGTGCCCGCTGTGCGACCGGTGAAACATACCACCGGGTATCGATAAAAGCTCAAGAGATTAAAGTGCGCGGGAGAAATGCTATTTTGAAAAGTCGACTATTCAATACCCTTTAAAAATTAAATGAAACTGTTTAATTTTTTTAAATTTCTTATAATCGAATAGAACACATATTAAACGTAGGATTTGATAAAAAAGAAAACTCCCTAAGGAATGGAAATATCAACATAATAGATATATTTTAGAAATATTTCAATAGATGGTCCCATCCCGAATGCAACCGTTAATTTCATACTTTACCGAAATCGTTAAAATAATTCCGAAAGTCCCTGAAAAACGTTATCGCAAATCTTACCTCATATTTCCCAAGAAAGTAAATTAAAACCATGTTAGATTGTTTTATTTGATTTGTTGACTGTTTAATGGTCGGTATTAGAACTAATTTAACTGAAAGTAATATTCTTATATTTTTTTGTATATAAAGTCGTGTACATGCATGTTTGTATATAATATATATGATTTGCTTACCAATTAGACTAAGTTACTTGCTTGATTTCATTGTGATCTTAGGCATTTTCGGAATCTATACAGAATTTGTTATATAATTAGTTCTAGATACTTTGCATATGTATATTGTGCTTATGATTATCTGAATCATTTGTTGTTTTCGTTTAGTTACTGTTGATTTGTTTATAATTCTTTTTGGTGTTGGTATTGATGCTCGATTCTAGTGCGCCCCCAAGAGCGAAGTCCTCAAAAACTCCCTCTAGCTCGAAAAACAACTTTATCCTAGGCATATTCTCATGTAGAATGTACAAAAAATAATTGGTATTATCTCCATTTCGCTCTGACTGTTCCTAAGATATTGGTCGTTTTTCTCGTGGATGGTACTTCATAAATACAATAATTCATTGTTGGCTTGGCAAATCAAATAGTGTTAATATTAGTAAGTGTGTGTCTGGACCTTCGTGCACGCTCACATTTGGAAGGAGTTGTGTTTTTTAAATGGAGTAATCTTTTACTGCTCATCATTGTAACAAATTCTTTGGGTATTCTGGGAGGAAGCATAAATTAAAAATGGTTTTCACCAGGCCGGTTCTTTCGATTCACATTTATTTTCTTTCGTTGCTTTTAACTATTGCAAGCTCATAACAAAATCGTAATAATATATATTAAAAATTAATTAAAGAACTACAAATAAATTCAAATAAAACATGAGCTAAAAACATAAATGTCTTCATACCGCACAAATATGTAACTAATAAAGATAAGAGGCTAAAATACATTCGTGATAAATATAGCTAACAAATTAATCAAAAACGAACATTCAGGTTTTTTTATTTTTGAATATATCAAAAAAGTCGCCAACAAAAAAATTAAGCTAGACTAAAAAAGATGAGCGAAGTATAGGGAAACAAAATGAAATTTTAAAATATAATTGAAAAATGTTTCTTATTCGCTTTTGGTATCTGAATATTAAAAAATGATTAAAATGCGTAATTAATGGCAAAAATCCGCGTGGAAACTTAAAAATAATTTTTCAAGATTTGCAGCATTCTTATTAAAAACTAAATAATTTCCGTAGTTGCATCGTCTACATCGTTCGTTTCTTGGTTATTGTTGGTTTATGTGTATGTATTTGCGTGCGATCTGCTTTAGGACTTCCAACAAGTTTTACATAATCTTTAAATTTGTATTTAAAACTAATATGCATTGACAAAGATAGTTTTACATATGTTGTGATTTGTGTTTTTGATTTAATTTATCCTTTCTCATTTCAATTAAATGTTTACCAGCACATTTGGAAGGTCTAAAATTAATGATTAAAATTAATTAGTATATGTTTGTGTATATCGTGGTGTAGAACTAAGAATTTATTTATAAAAATTTCACTAGCAAGTAAAATCACCCCTCAATAATTACAAAATAATTACACGCATATAGACAGAATATCAATAATTGTTGTCGTTGGTTTTGTCAAAAGAAGGCAAATAAGATCAAACCTAAAACATCTAATCGTCATCGTCGGACGAATTTGACGACAATTGTAGATCGTTTTGTAGCAAATCGTTTGGAAAGCCACCATTGGACGCATAAATGCCGGACTGTTGCTTCTGCTGCGGTTGCTGCTGTTGCTGATGGTGCTGCAACTGCTGCTGCTGCTGGTGATGATTGTTGCCATAGGCTGGTGATATTGAGCCCAGGCCCAGATTGGGCAGCTGATGCACATGCTGTTGCTGTTGTTGGTGGTGATGATTCTGATACATTTGCTGCTGCTGTTCCTGTTCCTGCTGCTGCTGCTGCCTTTCCATGGGGCGATCATCCTCAGTGCTGTCATCCGAGTTACTGCCGTTGTCACTGTCGCTGGAATCCGACTCGGAACTGGAGCTCGAAGCACTTAAAGCGCCGCCAATTTGCTGTTCCAAAGCGGCAGCCGCTTGCGCCACGTACTGCGAGGTCAGTTCATGTTCCCTGGTTGAGTCCAAATCCAAGGGCATGCTGTTGCCATGGCCATAAGGCGAAGGACGCTGCTGCTGGTGGTGCTGCTGAGGCGAGTGCCGTTGCTGCTGCTGCTGCTGTTGTGCGTGGTTATGGCCGCCGTTGTAACCACGTCCGTAGTTCGTTGGCTGCTGGTGGTGCTGCTGCTGTTGCTGCTGGGCCATGGGTGGACTTCCTCGCTGCTGCATTTGCTGGCGCTTGCCATGTCCGTGCTGGGGAGCCTGCCGCTGTTTACCCATGTGCGAGGACGAGGACGTGGATCCGAAGTCTGGCAGGCCAGCGGCGGAACCAGTCGAGGAGCCTGAGGTATTCGCCTGGCCGCTGTTGTGCAAGGCCGCCCTCAACCCAAAGTCATCGTCGTCCGTGATCATGGGAATGCTGGGCAACGTCTGCTGTCCATTATTTGCATCCCAACTGAAAGGGATAAGCAGCTATCAAGTATATGCTAGCCAAGCTGTTGGAGGGAATAACATACGCTGGCGCAGATTGTGGACTGCGATGGACTGGCACTGGACGCGATGGTGAGCTCTGCTGCATGGGCGAATTGCGCGGCTTGAAGTCAATTATATTGTTTCGGCGGCTGCCCGTAGAAACCTTTGTCTTCGATGAGATTCGCATGGTGCTGTTCTCCATTTTGGGTGCCGTCCCGGATCCATGGCCAGGAGCTGGTATTGGCGGCGCTCCAGCTCCATTCGTGCCCTGATTGTGCACCTGACTCTGGCCCATATTCACGGGCACATTTTGAGCTGGCAGCAGGACTGGCTTGTTGGTTACCTCGCTCCTGAAAGGGAAATAAAGTATTCTCATTATTCTAATTAACAATTAGTATAACTACTCACCTTGTCTTCTTCACTTGAATGTTGTGATTCAGCTTCTCTATTGTTATAGCGCCCGTCTCCTTGTCGATGATCATTAAACACTCCTTTGCATACTCCCTCTGATTACCCTTATAAACTGTATGAGGCACACCGGAACTTTCTGTAAGATAAAAAACAAAGATGGTTTAGCTTTGCTGAATGTGAAAAAAAACAGGTTAGCTCAGTCAATGCCATAATAAAATTTAAATAAAGAGCACGTGTTTTTGGATTAATCAACTGGTCATTGCGCATAACGCAGTAGAACGGTCTTGGGAACAATCAAAATTCTCTGAGAGTCACTAATAACCTTAATCTTTAAAGAGAATTCGGTTGGAACTACAAGATTATCAGATCTAGAAAAACTCCTATAATCGACTTTTTCTGAAAGTTGGATAATTCAGATATTATTTGGCTTTTGAAATAAAATCCATATCTTTTTTTTCGCGAAGAGGCAAACATCTTGTCAACAAAACATGTGAATTACATTTCAGGAATGAGTTAAACGGTTTCTCAAGTAAAAAATGAGAGGCATAAGATCTGCATTAAAAGGTGAAGTAGGGATAATGGATTTTCCGCTATTATCGCGGGCCTAAATCTGCATCCAAAAGTATTCCCATATCAAGATGTGTTTATATGTTTCGAGTTTCAGTACTATTTCTACAATCTACAATGCGACTATATACAATCTCATTGGGTGAGTTTTTAAGGTTTTAAGTGGTCCATGAATCAATAATTTTCTTTTCGGACGTTTGTAGTACTACTCTTCGTGATCCACGGTTTAAATGGTTACCCATTTTTAAAGTGGGACGAAGTTATAGATCACTTCAAGAAGAATCCAATAATGAATCCAGGCATTAAATTCGAAAAGAATATCAAAAGGAATCCCAATGAGGATAACAGTAAGGCAACCCAATTCCTAAACACACTTATTAAATTGTGTAAATCTGAACATGGAAACTTACAAAATCCTGGTCTAGATATAACTGTCGGCTCACAAAATATCCACAATTTAAATAAAGTCCTGAACAATATAACCTTGCCGGAAATTCAAATGCCGCAAATTACGGTTGTTGTCGTGAAGGATGCGAAAGCACTGGCAAAATACCGGGAGAAATCTAAGAACTCCAAGAGCCACGAGATTATCATTCAGCGACCCAAAGGGCTCAGAACACAGAAGGGAACGGAGAAAAAAGAGGATTTCCAAAAGGACGTGAAAAATTGCGTACTTATGAAAGTCAAGGAACTTAATGTAATCAAGGATTAAATAAGAAATCTGTATTCAAACCATATTGAAAATATTACAAAAGTAATTTTATTAAAAATGTTCGCTGGTTTAACATCAATCTCTTTAAATCCTTTAAAAAATTGTGTTTTGTTTGTTTTTATGTTATTATAATTATAATAAAAAATACATAACATATCTATGGTTTTTATAATTATCCCCTCTGACGAGAGTCGTTGTTACGCCCTTGTTGGAATTTTATTTTAATCCCTTTTGCCAAGGTAATTTGTTCTTTTGTATCTCCAAAGCAAGTCCAATTCTCACGCTCTCACATTGAAAGTTTGACTAATGGATTCACGACATTGGCTATAAAAGGATAGGTATATGAAAGTGTATACATAGTGTTATTGCTAGAATTAGAAATGCGACTGCTGGCACTGCACATTGGTAAGTGCTATTTGCTTGACAGCTTGAATCCAATTAAAGTCTGGACTTTCTAGCTTTACTCTACCTGTTTCATTCTGAAATATGTGCATTTTCGAATCATTTTGCCGAATTGAAATCCTGGTTCGATAAAAATGTTAAGGGCCGACAAGATGCGGAAACGACTGACACTATAATAATGCTCTGTCTTATAAAAGTGAAAAAATTAAGGCGGGCTCAAAATACTGATACAGCCAATACGAATACTGAAAATATAGAAAGGCAGCCTGAAATGAACTTCGAAAATACGGACAATATAAATAGTGCTAATAGAGAAACGCAGCCTGAAATTAACTTAGGAACAAGTTTTAACAATACGAATGCTGTCGAAAACTACATAATCCTCCCGACCATAAAAATGCCAAACATTACGGTTATCATTGTTGAAGAAGAGTTATCCCAAGTGGCTAGAACGGGATTCGGTGGAGAAAATGATCTAGCTAAAATAATTGGACAATTCAAAGATTGCTTGAAGAAGAAATTAGAGGTTCTTGCGGAAATAAAGGAATAAAATAATTTAATGTAATAAATACGAAGTTACTTCATAGTATTTATAACTTTCAAATGAAACCTTTGCTTAAAGGTTTCCAATAAAGTTTTTCCTGGTCCTTGGGAGCAAATTAGATCGTTGAAGATTAATGTAATCATACATTTTAATTGGAAAAGAATGGATTTTTTGAAAGCTCAAAGAGGAAAGACAACCATTTTTGTGAACCCAGCTCTAGATGCTTAAATGTTAAGTTTAACTAAGATAATTAAGTGTTACTTATTGGATTAGATCTGCTTTTATGCATGGCATTCCAATTTTGATTTTCTAGTTAAAAAATTTTCCAAGGGAAAATGCGTTTTATAATTGCTACAAGTCGGCAATTTATTTTAGATTTTTAAGGCTGTTGAAATGAACGGAACTCTTCTGCGGTTATTTCTTTTAATATGTTAGTCTGTACTCAAACTAGTGATACACTCCATAAAACATAAACTTTCCATTATTTCTAGGTTTGCTTTGCGCCCCGCTGATAAGGTCCCAGGATCACCTTAAACTAAAGAAACTAACCTCGGATCTGGTAAGTGCGATCGCTGAAGCTAATTCTGGTAGAAAATATGGAGCCGATTGGGTTCCGATCCTGGGAAAAACCTTGGAAGAGGTGCATGCGACATCGTCAAGACGATGCTTCATTTTTAAAATACTGGCCAAGAAAGTGGAAGCATTTTGCCCAAAGCCTCCGATATACCATCCCCCCTGCTATCCATCATGCAAGCCACCACCGCGACCGCCGCCGCCTCCACCAGCTCCTCCTCCATCGCCAGGAACAGGTATCGTAGCCCCGCCTCATCCTTCGTTCGAGCTCGTGTACCCCGATGGCTCCTACTTTCCCTGGTGCTACATGCCCTTCTGCCCCACGATTTGCAAGCGACCCTACTGTTATCCCTGCAAACAGCCCGATTGCGATCCCAATTGCGTTCCGCCAACGTGCTATCCGCCCTGCAAGGAACCTGCCTGCGTATTGCCACCGACTTGCTGGCCACCCTATTGTCCAGATCCCTGCACCGCTCCCCAGTGTATTCCCGGAAAGGAAATGGGCTTTATGCGGAGCTGCCTGCCACCCTACTGCCCACCGCCCATGAATTGCGAGCTTCCCTACTGCCCGAAGATCTATAAACCTAGGTCCGCGAGAACACTTTTTAGAACCGGTTTATGCCCCATGCGAGATATTGTGAAAAGAGCAGTAAGGGTTAAGTATGGATAAAGGCTAAACTTCAATAAATAAAGAGCACATCTTAAATTGTAGCTTGTTAAAAAGGTTTGATTCATATATTATAATTTGGAGCATTTCAAGATTGATTCTAATCCCATTTTTAGCGCCAATAATAAAGTATTTTGTATTTTAAGAACATTAAAAAGTTCCTATAAGACAATTTCAAGTATTTTAAGATATTCGTAACAAGAAATAGAAAACACCGAATTTATTGAAAGTTTAATATTAAATTGCATTCTACTAAATCCGATTTAGCCACTTCTTTTGTAGTGTGGTCTGAATGTTAATAGCAATTATCATGCTAGATATATAACTTACTAGGGGGTCTGCCATTAACCCACTTTAATCGCATGCGTTCCGTTGCCAACAAGTGAAGTGTACAATGCGGATCGCGTTCCCAATACTCGGTGAGAATCTTTCGCCGTCATTAGAGAACATACTAATTTAGCAACAAAGTGCTCTGCTTCCAGTTACACAAAACAATGGCCTTCCTGCCCAATTTGAATACCTTAGGGGAACTTAAGGGTAGACTTCTGAATGTTACTGGAAATGCCGTCCAGAAGGGCAGCTCACTGATGTTCAAATTGGGAACGCTAATGGAGATTGTTGGGGACAGCAATGGGACGGCAAATTTACCTAGTTTAGGAGAACTAGTTGACACTGTACAGGAGTTGGGTGCCCACTAAACGGATGGTCAAAACTGCCAGTAATGGGCGGAAAAGATTTTTAATATTAAATAAAAGTATCTATAAATGATTGAATATTCAATACGAGAGAAATAAAGAAATAAGGGTTCCTGACTTTATAAATAAATTACCTCAAAGAGGACATTCGATTTGGTTACGTTAAACGTAAGATCCAAACTGAGCTGACCTTGGCATATTTGGGAAATTTGTGGTTAACAAATTTGCGTGTCGAAGTGGTTTAGTCACCACTTCTAGTATGTAGTGGAATTTTTAAAATACAATTTTCCAAGCGGTAAAAGCTGAGAGGTCTCAATTCACAGAAGATCAGGGTAAAATTCCGGGATAAGGAACTTCGAAAAGTAAATTAAGTAAATTGCCATAAAAAATCGTGTAAATCATTGACAAATCACAATTTGCACATCATAAAACACTCCTTTAAATGAAATATATTTCATTCCTAATAATGGTTTACTAAATTCCATAAACAACTAAAAAAAAAAATAAGCAATTCATAATTGAACAAGATTTTCAATATTTTAGATGTGTTTGCATTTTTAAAGTATTTTATTTTATATAATATTTTTTTTTTTTTTTTTTTTTTTTTTTTTTTTAGGAAAAAGTTTTTTTTTTTTTTTAAAATTTTTTTTTTTTTTTTTTTTTTTTTTTGGAGGTTTTTTTTTTTTTTTTTTTTTTTTTTTTTTTTTTTTTTTTTTTTTTTTTTTTTTTTTTTTTTTTTTTTTTTTTTTTTTTTTTTTTTTTTTTTTGTTTTTAGAAAAATTTAAAAATTTTTTTTTTTTTTTTTTTTTTTTTTTTTTTTTTTTTTTTTTCCGGGGGTTTTTTTTTTTTTAATGGCCCCCCCCCCCCCCCCCCCCCCACTTTTTTTTTTTTTTTTTTTTATTTTTTTTTTTTTTTTAAAATAAAAAATTTTTTTTTTTTTTTTTTTTTATAATTTTTTAAATTTAGATAAAATTTTTTTTTTTTGGTTTTTTTTTTAAAAATTTTGGGGGGTTTAATTTTTTTTTTTTTTTTTTTCCCCCCCCTTTTTTGGGTAAGGGGGTTTTTTTTTTTGGGGGGCCCCCTTTTTAGGGTTTTCTCTTGTTTTAAAATGTGCTTGTCTACATGAATGTAGGTAAATTCCACAGAATTCTTAATCAATACCAGAGTCAATGCTCGATATGAGACAATAAGAAAGGTATATTGATAACAAGGAATGATACTGTCGTATGTATTGAAAAATATTTATATTAAGCTTTTAGTCTTCTCTTATCCCTATTCACCGATAGTGATGATTTCAATAGGGAATATGATAATCTTAAATGTATATTTAATTTAATTAAGCCAGGACCTTTAGAGATTTGGGCTTCTTAAAAGACAACTCTGTAGAGTGACAATATAGCGCAATAAAAACCCTACTTGTCATTCAACATTAAAGTGCTATCAGATTGAGTGTAGCTGTGAGTAAGTGATATGGTTATCGTTGTTATGGTTTTTAAAGTACGCCAAATCCACTCAATTGATAGTTTGAACGTAATGCTTGGCTTTGGCCGATGCCAAACTAGTTCAGCATATTGTGCGCATTTGGCTGCACCCGTCCGATTCCGAGAGATACGCGGAGAGCAGTTACCGCACCACCTCCAGACCTCCACCACTTGACCAAATTTCCGCTGCTATTGTCGTCGCCACCGCCGCCGCCAAAACTCTTCGTCGACTCGTCGCTCGCAATCAACGGAGCGTTACACAAGCCAAGTCGGCCGCAATGAGGTCCAACAACCATCAGCGGCCCACCAATAACCACAGTCGACAGTCCACAGACGATGTCTGGCCACAAAGAGCATAGCGGAATAATGCGAGTATGGAGAGGCCGAGGAGAAAAACTTGAACGCTTGGCTGCATTTTGCCTGACTTGATGTAATTTGGTGTCTTTGCTCCGACGCTGGCCTTTTCTCCTCCTCTCACCAAACGGCCGTGATTTTCTGTTTAATTCAAATAGCACACAGGGCTACCATTAATTTGTATCTATGAATAGGCACTGCAACTAATTTCTATCACATAATGCAGGCAAATTATGTCATCATCCAGACCAAGTTAACCACATACATTTGCAGGTAGACTAGTTGAAAATTTATAGAGATATATAAAAAGGAGATAAACAATGCTCTTCATAAAGAAACACCCGATAATAATTTTTAAAAAGTAAATTCTTCTGTACAAAATCACTGGTTGCGTAAGTTTATCTGCTTCGAAGAAAAACTATTAAATAACTTAACTGGTCTTTCGAGTGGTTTATCGATTGCCGCTCAATATTACCGATGCAACCACAAAATGTATTCCGTTCGCTCTAATTTCAATACTTTATTGGTTTGCGTGCTGGAATCATGCGAATAAATTAGCTGACTTCCCTGCATTGTTTATTCCATTGTATGATTGTCTAATAAAACACGGTTGGATAAACGTGATTAACGTCAGTTTGTGCGATATCCAAAAGATATACATTATATATCTTTTTATACATTGTATTTAAAATGGTTATCAAAGAGATTGTATTTAGATTCTTACACGGTTGAAAACAATGTTTTGTTAAACAATGCCAATAACAGATCGTGAAGAATTTGTGCCAACTTGTTTGTGTGATTGAACTTGGCTTGCGGCACGTGTTCTTGATTGCTCTAAATCTTTTTTTAATGGAGCTTCTTGGGGAGCGGGGCATTTTGGTATCGGTAAAATGAGTTTGAACAGGTGCATTTGACTAGCAGGTGCACTCAGCTTCATTCTGGAAAATCTTAGCTGCATGGAGCCCGGCAGGTGGAGACAGCTTGATACTACTTTCTCAACTTAAACTACTATAGCTATAGGACCAAATATTGATAGAAAGATTGTAACCTTATTTTTATTAAAATGTAAAATGTTTATAACAAATTATTATATAAAATATTTATTTCTAACTAAATACATTGAAATTTAGTTGAACCTGATAAAAAAATCGTCATGACTTATACCTAAACATTTTTATTCATTTTGAGATGTTTTATAAACAGGCTTTTGTTATTTCCGACTAATAAAAAATTTTTTTTTTTTTTTTTTTTTTTTTTTTTTAAAATTTTTTTTTTTTTTTTTAAAATAAATTTTTTTTTTTTTTTTGGGGGGGGGGTTTTTTTTATAAAAAATTTGTTTTTTTTTTTTGGGTTTTAATTTTTTTTTTTTTCCCTTTTTTTTTTTTGGGGGGTAAAGGGGGGCGTTTTTCCCCTTAAAAGGGCAAAAATGTTGGAAAGATCATAATACTCTACCTGGTTTAAACTACCTTGTTCCTACGGATAGACTCCGCCCAACTTTTCACGTCGCCACTTAAAAAAGCCATCTTTAATATTAAAAAGTAAAAAAAGAAAGGGTATAAAATTTTTTATATGATCCTAAACTGGAATTCTGGTATGTGGACCAAATGTATGTGTGAAATTATCAAGTTATTGATGAATACTTCATATTTGCGCAGAGAGAAAGGGGTTACGAATTTGTGTCATACACACGCCTCAAGATAAATTATTGTTTCTGGGTGCACTCACCTGAATTTGGCACGATAACAGTAACTTGATTGTTGGAGCCCACGTCCACAGATGCCATGCGGCTGGTGTCCACGCTCGCTGGCTTGAAGTCATCTGCAAGATGGATTGTTTGTGGGTGAGTTCTGGAGTTCTGGATTTCCGGCGGGATCAGGACCGTTTAAAACTTACATTTGATGGTGTGGAAGCCGGTGGAGGTGTACTTCGGGTTGAAGGTGGCGCCCAGCTTCAGTTCCCGCACCTCCTCGCCGATATTGAGGCGATCGGCCAGCGAATTCTTCTGTTTGGTCATCATCATCGTGCCGCTATTGCTATTGGGCTGATAAGGCAGGTTGGTGGCGGCGCTTTGTGGGTGGTTACTACTATAGTTGGAGTGGTTGTAATTGGCACTGGTGTGGTTTGACTTTTGATAATTGTTGTTGTTGCTGTAGTTGTTGTTGGTGCTTTGATATGACTTCTCGGCCACGTCCGCCAGAGCAAAGTGGGACTCCTCGGCAGCGCCACCGCGTTGATGGTTGTGCCCGCCGTGGATTGCAGAGGATGTGGAGGATTGTTGAGAACTCCTGTCGCCACCCTCGATACCCGATGCCGATGCCGATACCGATGACGATGACTTGCGATAACTGCCGCCGTAGTGCTGGCTCGCAGACGCCTTGGCCTTGAGACGCTGCAGCTTGGTGGCCACGGATTTGGGTATTTTACGGCCGTGCTCGTCGCTCCACGTGCTGTTCTCTTTTGGAACGATGCAAGACTTTTGCCACAAAGTATTGCACGCGTCGCAAAAGAAACCACGTTCTCGAGCGGAGGGTGTGGAAAATTAAACGAAAACTAAATAATAATAAATCGGGGGGGTGGTGGTGGGTTGACCTCGGGCTCAGGCTCTCTTCTTCTTCCTCAGGGCGGCTGATGGGTTTCGGTTGTTACATTTGTCATTGGATCTGGTTCTGGTGTTTGGATTCGGGTTCCAGGCTCAAGCTTTCCAAGTCATATTCCTGCTTGGCCCTCGAAAATGTCTTTTATCTGCAAAAGTATGGCGAATATTGACTGCGATTATTATTTATTTGCTGCCATATGTTTGCGACACAACGAAACACACACGCACACACACACGCGCAGTCGGGAGTGCAGCGCTTTAGAACACTGCACTTACACCTGCTGCTTTTTGACACACATTTCGACTGCGTTCTCCTCTGCTTTTCACGCTTTTCCACCCGATCCGTATTATTTTTAGCGTCACACGATTTCTTTACGAAAATTGCAGCTGATCGCGGGACAACTGGAGGGCAGCGGATGAATAATGTGCGTGGAATTATGCCAGCTTTTGCGTTTATAATGCACGATTTACACTGCGAATTGGCACGCGAGCGTAATACGTAAGCAAATTAAAAAGTGAGCGGCTGCCAGCGGAACGCCAAAGGGAGGGGGCGCGAGGCGGGGGTCGAGGGGGCGGGGCGCACAGCTGAAAACAAGTTTGAAATAGCCGAAAAACAGCAACGCGAAGGTGAAATTTCCGAAAATCGAATTGAAACGTAGACGAAAATCATCAGTCCATATGTGTGTGCACTGTGCGGCTGCGGTTGTGTGCGTGTGCTGCGTTTTCCACGGTTGCGCTGCGATCGGGGGGAAATGCCAATCGCTCTTCCGCCGCTCCAATTCAACTTGATTAGCACACAATGAACCTATTTGCTGGTCGCTTTTACAAAATCGCCTTGTCTTACATTATTTACACCTCACGCTGTTGCTTCTCTTTTTACTTTTTTACGATTCAGTATGGCCGCGTGAGTGGGAAATCCCAAATATACCAGATTTGCGAGGCCAGAGTGACCGTAAGTGAAGTTGAAATACCAGGGCAGGCACAACAAATAAAGGAGGAAAACCCTGCTAGACGCTAAGCATATACTCCAACCACAATTCTCTTAGGAGTTTGTTCTTTTTAAAATTATATCTTATTTTTGCATTAATTCGCAGATTTCTGTGCAGTTTTCCCGTCCTCAGGCAAAATAATAACTCCCTTTTCATATGTAAACATTGTGGTTTTTCTGTTTGTTTGCTTATTCATTTAACTCCAATTAAATAACATTTGTTTTCCTTTCACTCCTGACGATTTTAACATGTAACTGGGGTATATAAGCTTAAATTATATGAATTGTATTATTTTGAATTTATTATTAATTTAACATAATGGATGGTTTAGATATTGTCTGTCTGTTTTTCAAGTGCTCCATGCACGGTTTGTCATCAGCCCTCCGATGTGGAGGGTTGTCCTTATAGATATAAATATTTAAGTGGCCGATTTCCAAGTGCTTCCTTGACCGTCCTTCAAGCCTATTGAAGTTTTCCAAGTGTTCCCTTGTGCGGACACCACAGTTATCGAAGTTTTCTTCTTCAAAATGGTTTTCTTCGGGCCATGAGCCCGAGGAGGATATCGAGGATCCGATCGTCGTCCCTGACGACGCTGATGGCGGCGCCTCTGTAGCCAAAGCATTTCCTTCACTTCGGGATCCACCTTTGGACGATGGTACGCTTCTCTTACACCCACAAAGCTTCCGTCTAAGAGATGCGGAGAAGATCTTAGGGCGTTTTCTTTCATGGACGACTGGGTGTAGGTGACGAAGGCGAATCCGCGGGAGCGCCTATTCTTGGTGTTCTTCTTCACCTCCGCCTCCTCGATGGTGCCAAACTTCTCGAAATGAGCCCTTAGACTCTCGTCCGTGGTGTGGAAGGCCAGTCCGCCGACGAAGAGCGTGCGATCATGCTGTTTCCTTTTTTATTGAATTCTCCATTGTTGAATCGTACAAGCTCTCCATTATTGAATTTTAGAGCATCAGCTACGCAGCTTAAACTTAAAATACATTTTTGCATTCCAAACGCCAAGGTTATCGGTAGTTTATTTGTGATGTGCATCACGAAATTGTAAGAGCTCCGCAATAGTCGATAGTCTCCCTAGATCTTTACGATAAGTGATCGCATCGTAAAAGCTTTTGGTACTGTTCGGGGATTCCCTAAACTCTTTAATTCCTGAATTGTTAAATTTCGGTCTTTGTCGGTGTTTATTAGCTGTTCTATACAAATTCCGTTTTGCAGAAGTTTCAGCACTCTAACAACTTAAGACTTATAAGCAATAGGAAGAATGTAATGCTATGCTTAAAAGCCGATCTAATCAAATAACGAAGTTTAACACAATATTTATAAGCCCTATACTCCTAGATGCGCTTCTTCCTTTCTGTTTTATTAATCCCAGTATAGCTTCTAGGTATAAAAAAGAATACTCGAAGACAATAAATGTAAGACGATTAAGATTTTAAATCTTAGTTATCTTAGTAGTTATCTTAAATCTTAGTTATAGTTAAAATAACTTAAAATAACTTGTAAATATTCTGCAACAAGTCTCATTTTTTTCTAGTCAATGTTTTGAAACAATTAGTTATATTTTAAATGCACGTCTGATTTGGTCTAGCCCCGCAGATTAAAAGTACACTAAATTAAAAAATCGAGAGGTTCTTTACTAAAAGTTCGGTAATAGCAATTTATTTTATCCGATGTCGGGATTAATTCATTCTCAGGGGAAAATATAAAAGAAAATGTGGTATTCAAAAAGTATGCAACCAAAACCATTTATGACACAGAATGTTCACACAATTTATTTTTATAATTTAGACAAAATAGATTTTTTAAAAATTCGGATAAAGGAGCTACATCAAAAAACTGTATTTCTATTAATTTATAACTTTAATAAATGCCAAGTATTTTATGGGTAGACTAATATTCTTACTCAAAAACCAAAGTAAGCCCTGGAAATCGCTTTAATTAAAATCGCATCAGCGATTATCGAGGCAAATCCAAGCAAACAGAGAACCGCCCCTGCTCTTCACACCAGAATGTTTTCATTTTTTTAAGCAGCAATAGCAAACAACAGTAGCACACCCACACACTCGGGCATTCAGACAGGGGCTTCCCCTCGGAGATCAGATCATCATTAACATCTAGGCAAATCCTCAAGGCGCCGTCGGCTAGCTACTGTTTTCGGGCTGAGATTCGGACTGAGAGGGATGCGAGTGCAGCTCCTTTATAAGGGGCGTTAATTACTTGAGCGCTGTCTCTGCCCTTCGATCCGTAGTGGATCGGTAGATCAGTAGATCAGGGCTTTAAGATTTCGCCAAATGCCGAAAAAATGCGCCTCATTGCATTTCCATTTTCAATTCCATTCCTTTTGATTCTCCTCCTAATCTCTCCCACTTGCGATGGCTGGAATTTGATAAGCTGAAACTGATACTTTTGCTCTCATTTCGGTGGAGTGCGTTTTCCTTTTGAGGATACCATAAACAGGCAGGTATTTTCTTTGTTTTCGTGACGATGGTTTTTTGGGGGTGGGCAATGAAGGTGGGTGGTCGTAGGTCGTAGGTCGCTGAATGCAACAGAACAGAAAATGCAAAAAGTTTCTAACGGTATCTTGACGTGTCGACGGCAATTTGTGGGGGAACTCTAGAAGAACCCCTTCCAATCCGCCAAAGTTGTCCTTATTTTCCGTTTTCTAATCAAACATTTTTGTTGTCTGTTGCTCATTTTACAGTTTCGAACTTCGCAACAACATTCCCATTTGGCGGCTAATTTAAAAACTTTTCTTATCAGTTGATGGAATCTAAAATTGCATTTTTATGGCACTTCCTCTGCCAGTTCCGTCGACTCTCCGTTCTACTGTCTTTCTACTCCTTCACATCCCTTGCTTTTTGTTTTGTCCTTCAGCTAACGTGGTTCCCGCCTATCGACACTTTCGTTTCGAAAAACTCGGCTCATTTAGCGCAGAAATATGCCTGTCAAAAGTTTGCTTTTCCCATTATTCCTTAGTTTCTCTGCAATTACCGCTTTGTATCTATGAGGATAGCTTCTGGGGTTTTGAATCGCCTGCAATTAGGATAGGTACAATGCCATCCTGATTGAGTTACAAATTTCCCAGCCAATTAAAAGCGACTGACAAATGCACATAGTTCTTCATCTCAAAATCTTAAATCAATTAAAGACGGCATTGTTTTTCAGATCTAACGAACCACTGACCCCTTGACCCTTTTGGCCTTGTTAGGGGTTGTCTCGAAACTGGGCCAGTTCTTCTTCATCTTGTCTGACAAGGGTTCAGACATCGAATGTCTGGATGTCTGAATGTCTGGCTACCTGATAGCGAAGCACTCGGAATTGAGAACTGAAAAGAGGCAGCTGTCCCCTAGAGCCACTCCCACTGGGTGAATACATGCAAATTTAATTAGCAGCAACTGGGCGAAAAAGCGATCGTGAGTTATGGTTCCCCCTCATAACCAGAGGAGCACCCCCCAAATACCCCGCCCCGAACAAATGCGCTCGATCAGGCGCTCATAAATCAATTTAAATGGCCATCTCAGCGAGCAGAAAAGTGCAACTGGGAGGAAACGGGGGTTCGGGTTCCGCAGCCACGACGGTGAATGTCTGAAATTGTCTGTAATTATAGTGAAAACACTTGGCACACACAGCACTCCCCCAGCGAAATTGATTTAAAATACTTTTGCCATCACGGTTCCCGAGCCACATGTACACTTACCTACACACAAAGTACCGAGCAACGTGTCCGCGTCCACGTTGTGTGGCCATAATTCAAAATTTATGTCTTTTGAAATTATTTTAATGTCTCTAATGGAACTCCCCCTCCCGGCAGCCCAGCAATCTATGTATGTGCAGACCCCCAGTAGAGTGAGATCAAGAGACCTGCACACAAATAATGAGCATGTTAATCGCACTGAAGATTTAAGATACAGAAAAGGACAGACGATAGTCAAATATATTATTTTGAGAATTACTTGAATTATCACCTAGGTTTTTTGGTTTTTATATATATATCGATCCTAAATTCTTTCATATTTATAAGCTCACAATTTAGACAAAGCAAGATTAATACACATAAAAAAATTTGCTTGGTAAAATTGACCAACAAAGATAGTTACGTAACTATTAAAATAGTTACGTGTATTTTGTTTTTGCTTTGGGTTTGTGTCTTTGCTAATTGTGTGTATTTTGTTGTTGTGAAATGACTATTTACTTAGTAGAATTGACAATTTTGCTGGTTGGGGCCTGTTTGACAATTATTACAGTTGATTTTACTAAGTTTTTTTTTTGCGTGTACTTATAATTTAGTTGTAAACTTTAATGTACCAAATTGAATTTAAATATGTTATGATATTTTAAATAGAAGGTAAAACTTACAAATGGAAGTCTTAATTTTGTATAATTGAATAATGATTATACTTATAAGGTCTGAGATGTCTCTGTCGTTGTGTTTACCCGTTTTCTGATGGGAAACAATCGCTGCTAATTGTGCTTTAAGCTCAATCAACCATCATATGCGGAGCCCAAGGAAGAGGACCACATGCAGGGGCCACCTCCATTCGGAGCTGGAATGTAAGCCTCAGCTCCAACTCAATCTGGGGCGATAAATATCGCTCTGTGGCAGCCCAACAAGTCCAGATCCTCCCATTAAAGCGGCTTCATGTCGAGCATTGGTGTAAGCAGAAATGCTCAGCTACAACATCGATTACAAGATCCCATGCAGAGCATCGAAGCTGAGGCACGAGTCGTGATTGAGACTAGTCGATATGGGCAGACGGGTATAGGGATTCCATTTCCATTTCCGATCTGATCTGATTAGGCTCCACCACCATTCCCAGCATGTCTGACCCTCCTCCGGGGTCAGCAATGCAAACAAATTCGCAGCAAATCTCAATCTTTGCCACCTGCGCAGCTTAATAAATAAATTGGCCAGCCAGCAAGCAACCAACCAACCAGGTAAGATACCAACATCCTCCACTGACTGGTTGCCCCGGTCGAAGTGATACGAAAACAAATTGAAATTGGCAACTCGCTTGTTGAGCGCTAATTTATTAGCCATTCGCCCGGTGAGCCTAGAATTTTAATTGAATATTAACACCTTTGGCAGAGGATCTCATCTCCCTGGGAGTTTGGTTTCCAAGTCGGTGGATTGGAGTCCATGGGAGGGGAAAAAAGGGGTAAGAAGGGGTTGCAGTGGTCAAGTGCCGCGAGCGCTGCACACAATTCAACTTTTGTGTGTCTTTGTGGCATTGATTTATGCAACAGCCTCGATTTTGAACTCCGTATGCGTGATCCGCGTGTGTGGGTTTCCATTCGCCTCTCGACACCAATTCTGGTAGCGAGAGGAAATTGGTTATTTATAAGTGTCAGCTGACGATTAAATTGGAATAAGCCTCATATCGAATTAGTTCCACCCATGCAATTGTCTGCTCTCAGGTGGGATCTTTGAGATACGAAGTATTTTTGAAAGAACCAAGCCTGAAAAAAGTTAATCTTTTTATTGAACTTTTTGGTAAATATAACTATAATCTTACGGTCATAACTTGTAGAATCATTTACTCTTAGGGGCTGTCCATATATTACGTAATCACCTAGGGGGGGAGGGGGTCATTGAAATGATTATGTTTGATTACATGGGGAGGGGGGGTCTTGTACAATGATTACGTAATCATTTTATATTAATTTTTTTATTTAAAGAATTTATTTAAAAACTTTTTTCCTTTAAATTTATCTACAAACCAGGGACCAAAAATAAGTGTTATTGTAAATTTTTTCATACAAAAAAATCACGCATTGTAGTTTACAAATCCGTAATGATTTTTATTTTTTAATTTTTATAATAAAACTCAAAAAATAACTGTTATTTTTTGATTTTTATAATAAAACTCAAAAAATAACTGTTATTTTTGGATTTTTATGAATAACAGTTATTCCCTTGACATTTTTGAAAAAATGAAATAATTAAAAAAAACATGATTCCCGTGTTTTATATAACTTACTAAAAATTTGTTAAAAAAGGCAACCGTGCATATTTTATACCTATATTTTTTTTAAATTTATTTTACCCACAAAATCGCCATAAATCAAGTTTGAGTTTTATTTTTGATCACGACGAATAACTGTTATTTGCCAACTTTTATTATAAAACTCAAAAAATAACAGTTATTCCTTGAGTTTTACTTTACAAATCAGAAAATAACTGTTAAAGTGTGATTTTTAAAATAAAACTTATAACAGTTACGGTCCCTGCTACAAACTTAAATAGGAAAGCAGAGAAAAAATTTTTGTAGTGGCTGGGCGGCGAAAAAAGAATGTTTAGTGGTTCAATCACACGAAGGACGCGAAGACCTGGAATGGCTTGACGAAGAGTATGTTGGGGATAATATCAGCGTAGACGAACCGAATGTGTCATACCAAACTTCATTTATAAACAATATTAAAGATTGGGTTGCATCTCCGTTTGAATCCACAGATTAAAACAAAAAAAATGTTATTCTGGGGATTACGTAATCATTGGGGGGGGTTGTTTATTGAATGATTACGTTTGATCACCAGGGGGGAGGGGGTCAAAAATCACCAAAAACGTGATTACGTAATATATGGACAGCCCCTTAATAGGTTTTTAAAATTATCATAATCTATTTAATCTTTTTTATGTCGTTCCTTTAATCATTACAAAAGATAGTGATTAGGGTTACAAGGTAACGATAATGATATTAAATAAATGGAAACTAGATTATTATGATATTAAGGTATTTATATTTAGCATTTTCATATTCTTAGCGATACAGTGACCTGTCAGTTTAGGAGTTCTCAAATATAATTGTAATTGTATGAGAAAATTTTTGAATTTTGTACATACAAGAATTTTAAATTTCAAATCGCTTGAAGAAATTCAACAATCCCAAACGAACTAGATAAGATAAACTTCATAAGATCCATGTCACAGATTCGAATCGAATGCATGATTTAAATCTTTTCAGATCGCGACAACTCACGCGATGCCCGAGAGAGTCGCAAGTCCAACTGACCACCCACGAGGTGGACGCTAAATGAGGCAACCCCACGATCATATCTGCAAATTGGACAGCCCCCCGCCGCGTTGCGTGCCCCAAGAGCATTTGGCACGCCCCTGGCCGGGTGAAAATTGTTTTTAAACTGTTTAATTAATAGAAAAATTATTTAAATCCCCGGCCACAGAAATCCCCGACCCTGACCAGACGCAGAAAGGAGTGGGGAAAATCACAATCTAATCTCGGCATAGCGATCAGAACGAGATCAGTGAATTCCGCACCGTAGGTAAACTTTGGGGGGCTGGCCGCTATTATTTATTGACACTCGAAACCGACCGGGAAGATGAGCCTCTTCATTCCAAGAGGAGCAGGAGGAGAGGAGGAGGAAGGGGGCGGAGTCCCTCAAGTGGCCAGGATGGTTGGCCAGGCCAAGGCGTCGCTGACTGTGACAGCAGATGGTGTCGGCATTCCAGGCACTGGCACTGGCACCTTCTTCCCGTTCGGGAAGGCACCTTCTGCACGCGACTCGCGGTCTTCGGCGAGGGTAAGGGGAATCCCCTTGTGGAGGAGCAGGGAGCGAGGACCGAGAACTCGGACCGCCCGTCTTGCTCCTCGACACTCTACTCGACTGTTTGATTTATGCTCGCGTAATTGTTGGTTTAAACGTTTTTGCACAGTGCCCCGTTGGGGGAAGGTGAGGGGATAGGGGCGAGGAGGCAGACATTATGACACCCCAGTGAAATGTGAAGCATGCCCAGAGTTGTCGAGCTAAGCTAATTTACAAACTGAAACTTAGGGAAGAGTGTTGCTATTTTTGTATAATATTTTTCAAAATGTTATTTATTTCCATTGAGTTAATTTTGAAAAACCACTATGGTCTGTGACCATATAGTTTGTTCTTAGTATTTATGGAGGAAGAAACAGTAACAGCAATCTTTATAAACACTACAGAGTGTCATAAATTGTGTGTTATGGTCAGTGTACAATAGGTTTTTCAATAACCACTTGTGTGGACTCGGTAGCCACATGCCCATTATAACCAAAAAGAACAGACCACCATTCGCTTCAAAGTGCTTAGCAAAATCTTTTATTAGATTTGGGTAATGTTGGAAATTCCAATTAGCAGATTACTTATGGTTTTAGATGCTCCCATCGTGATGGAAAAAAATATTTAGAATTTAATTTTTGCTAGGTGATTTCCGAAAATACTACAATGTGAAGTATAAAACGGAATGGAATTTAAGAATCAA